ACAAGTTTGCTATTTATAAATGTGTCTTTTTATGAACTGCATATATACAATAGCTCCAATGTGCATGCCAACTGATTAACATTAACTTAGAGCACTGAAAAGCTGGAGTCCAAAGTCCAAACATTACCACCTGTGGGGCCCCTCATAGGATTATTCAGGTAATTTAAATGGTTAAAATTTCTTATCCAAATCAACATGATCAAGAGCACTTAATATTATTTCTATCAGGATAAGTTGACATGAAAAATGAAATATTTAAGTACATACAATACTTTATTTTGATTTTTATCATAAAATGTAAACTTCAGAATATCTAAACATAAATATTGGAGGAAAAAAGTGTTCAAAACTTTTTTTGGTTCACTGATATACATACAGATGTCAATGACTTTTAACTACAAGATTAAAAATATATCATAATAATATAATGCAGTTCCAAATTGTTATGGTCTATGGATCATTACAAAATAAGACCAGTGAACTCATAGTAATCAACAGGATCATTTACATACTGATGTTGACATTTGAAATAATTAATACCATACATTTTTTTCTGTCCAAAAAAATATTAACAAGTCCAATTTTTTAATCAATTTGAAAAAATGTATCCATTCTTACTTATAGTGCATGTGTTCAAGTTTAATTACCTTTAAAAATCCCTTATCTGAGGATTAATACAATTATTGATCTGTTTGTTTACATGAAATATATATTACCTCACTCCAGTGTAGAAATGTGACAAATTAACACTAATAAGAACCGGGGTAGGTTATGTAACTTGCTTGTTCTATTACCTGGAAGTGAGGAATTACAACATATTGAGCTCAACTAAACTTATAAATTATGAAAACTTACAGGATTCTTGTTAATTAACACACATAAATATACAGTGATATATGTAATAACCATCAATTCCAAGTTTATCAGGATGAATATGTGTTTTGACCTAGAAGCTTGACAATTTTAACCTTGAATTTAGCTTTTGAGTAAAAGAGACAGGGCTTTCATTTTTTTCTTTTCTTTCTTTCCTCTTAATTTGTGCATTACCCCAATGTTTTATAGTGGATTTACAAGACAAGAAAAACTTGTACAGAAGTTATTTTTCTTTGTTAGGTCAATTACATGTAGCAAAACACAATGTTTTCCCCCTAATATATCATTTAACACTTTAAGGAGGAACAGGACCTTGAGCTGAAAAATTCCTGTAAATGATTTTTTTCCGTACTTTTTATATTACTAATTTAATAATATGAATGAACATTTTAAAATGATCCTGTCATGAAATTTCTTGACTTATTTAAAAGATATCACCTCACAAATATCACCTTATATACTAGGTATTTGTACAGTTTTGATACTTCATGTTTACGGGTCCATTACGGAGTCCATATAATGCAAATTTTTATGCACAATTAATAAATATGTTAGATAACACTTAATACTCAAATATTTCAGAATATTCATTGTGTTTAAATTATCTGAAAGCATTTGTTTTAATTTCAGATAGATATTTGGGATAATTTCTGCATTTTTCAAGGCAGCTTCAACAACAAAACCTCATTTTGGAAAAAATTCTGTCAATAAATATTGCTAAATTTACGATTGAATGTCATTCATTCATTGTAATTATTAACTGCATAAATATTGCAGGGTCAAACTTACCTCAATGTCGCACAAGACATCTTTGATTTAGACGTAACTTAAGCATGATAAAAACGATTCACGTTTACATTTTCCGAGTGCAGGATATCAATTGTGAGTCGTCACACGAAAACATTAACATGCACAATTATCTAAATACTAAAGAGAATAAATTTCTGCTACAAAAAAATCTGCTTCAGAAATTTATCACGATACATTGATTGTGACCTGTTTATTATGAAATAAAACTGATCATGATTGGTGTAGCTAATGTGTGTACTTGATCTCGCTGCACTGAGAATTCAAACACTACTACTATGACGTAACTGACGCCAGACTGCAGGGTAAAGAGAAACGGCTGTTTAAATTTGGCAGTTTCACAATATCTATAATGTTGGTAAGATCTTTAAAAATTTTATATATATATATTCTTAAAAAATAAATGTTTAACAAAGCAATTTTAGAATAAAATTACACAAGAACTGTTGATTTTAACAACGTTAACATGTACATCAGCATCGACTATGACGTAATCTGTCTTTTGAGTCATGTGGCATGTGTCCTGTCTCCCCTTAAAATCTGTTCATGTTCATTATGTTTTCTTCAATATCTCATACTAAAGCAGGAATGGTACAAATTTGTCTGAAAGCGTTTGAAGTTTTAATCAGGCAAAATTTGTTTTGTTCCTGTTCATGTGTTTCTGGAGTATAATACACTGATAAAGCAAGAATTATGCAGACACATTTAATATATATAAAAAAAATTACATAACTAATACAAATACTGAGTAGGAGAAAATTGGTTTTAGGTAAATTCAAATTCACATCAAAATGCCATATAACACGTCACATAATTCTATTTTCCTTAGAGAGGTAGACAAGTTTTTCATCCCTGTCTACTTCCACATAATTCATACACATCTCGCCAATAAATCTTATCAATGCATTCATGCATTTAAAGTTATGTTTTCAAAAGTCAATCAAACACAATCAAACTTGTTAAAGGTCATGATTGATGAATCCCCGATTTATTGAACTACAGAGAGCAGACGAGTGCGCGCAAAGTCACTACTATTCATCAAATCCATGCAGTTAAACACAGATTTCTTCACTTGACCTAGACAGAGGAAAGCAATGTAAAGTACTTTCATTCCCTACTAAGATTTTTAATCATACCTATATCTCTGAGTTATTTTGAGATGAATGATCACTTGTCGTCCTACAGTCCCGAATCTCCTCCGTCAACAAGTCGTCTTCTGACGTCACGTCGGTAAGTGATTGAAACGCTTTACAGCAAGGTGAAAATGTTTTTAAAAATCAAGCGTCAAAAATACATGGAAAAATAGTTTTAAACATTAACTGGAAGACCGTTGAATTTCCGGAAAATACCAAGAAAAAATAAATCCAAAAAATAAATATAATTAGTTTCAAAAAATAAAAAAAGAAAATTAAAAATCAAATTAATTTAAAAAGTAAGTAGATAAAAGAGGATTCTTTAAAAATATGAAAAAAGCCACAACAACATTTCACACATCAATACAGTATCTGACTATCTGATCCTGCCACTGATTTCTGAGAAAATTTTATAGGGCAACTTGCTGTTTAAGACCAGAGAGGACATTTAATTTAAAACAAAAAGGAAGAAATACGCTGTTCAATTATTCATTTTTTCAAGTTAAAACGAAAGAACATTGTTCGCTGCACATGTTAAATTTAGAATGCGCATCCACTTCCTTTAATTATGTGATGGTTGCATGACAATTCTAGCAAAAATCAATGTATTTACTTTAAATATGTACTCTACACAGATTGAAAATAAAAAGTAACAATACTTAAAAGGGTTGAGGTAAAACTTTCACAATATAATTTACTTGGGAAAAGAATAGAGACTTACAAAGACTAGTGAAGACCATTGGCGTCGGCATTGGCGTTGAAAGGGGGGGGGGGGGCTAAGTGTAAAAAAAAAAAATTTGTACCTTCAAAAATGTCCATTTCCCAAACACGAAAATCCTATTTCGTGGGGGGGGGGGGGGGGGGGGGGGAAGGGGGGGGTAGGTTCAAACTTCAGTACAAAATTTTTTTCCAAACACCACCACTTTCTCCATTTTTAATCTATTTTAAAACGTATCTGTGGAAAGTGGGGGGGGGGGGGGGGGCTAAACCTACGAAGATATGTTCAATGTCTATACTAAGTATATATTTGGAATAAAAGTGGGGGGGCTAAGCCCCCCCTAGCCCTCCCGGTTCCGACGCCTATGAAGACTATTCAATCTTCCATGCTCAATTTTCAAAGTTTGTACTAGAAAACAATTGTTTAAAAATAGGTAAAGCGTCTTTGACAAATTGATTTTTTATTATTTAATGGCATAATATGCTATTGAAAGAAATATTATTTTTAAGTTGATTGATTTTACTCCCTTTGTTAAGATTACTGTAAACCAACTTTTATTAGCGTGCGAGAAATTTTCGCGAAGTTCGCGAGAGCCTCGTCAACGTGAATATTTCTCATTGCAAACCGGTCCTTAGAGTGTTATGTGTCTATAAATAACAGATCCAAAAAGGCTTGATCGCACAAATGAATCGTCGCGAACTAGTTTACCCCTGCTAAATCGCGAAATAAAGTTGTCGCGAATAAAAGTTGGTTTACAGTATACATAATGCAGGTGCCATTCACGTCTTGGATACAACGTAAACCCGCAATTTTTTATTAACGTCACAACTATTGTAACATCATTTATGTGTGACACGTGTGACGTTACGTTATTTGTCAATTCAAAAATTTACGCTGGCAGCGAAAGGGTTAAATGGAGAAATACTTTATGAAAATCACATGTAACCATAAACATTTGCCAAATCATAAGAGGGAGCACAGAATGGGTATAGCTATACAAGGTCTACATGGGATGCTTGTTCCCCCATTGCACCCAATTGCTCCGAATTGATTTTCTCTGCTCCTGATTTGCTTTCATTTTTTCAATGGAATTTACTTGATTACTGTCTGTTAATTATCCACAAAGTTAAAAAAGAGAAGAAAATTAATCAAAGAAAAGACAAATGTTCAGATTCATATATTCATATTAATTTTCTTACATGTAATAAAGAACAGCTAGTGGGAGGGGGAACAGGAAGGGGACATCTAACAACTATATAAAAATAACAAAACGTCCAAAAGTCATTTGAAAATCACAAAAACAAAATAGTATTGGTTGAACTTAATACATGTATTCAATAAAATACATTTACATATCACAGTCATTATGATTTATACATGAACATGTATTTAATGTAAAAAGTTTTTAAAATTTTGAGTTTCAATCTACAGAACATTTAATTAGAACTTAGGGTAAACACGCAAGTGTAAAAAAAACTCCCAATTTTTACTTTACTGCAAAAATGTAATCAATATCCCACATCAGGGATATGGATCTATGATTATTTAGTCTGAAAAAGAGAGAGTCCTCAGAATTGCAATGAACAAATTGTGCAGCATGTAAACTTTTTCATGGTCATTTTTATTTTAAATGCCATTTTTTATTAACCCCATAAGTTGGAATTGTGGAGATGTTTACTCCTTGAAATTATGATCTATTTCATAAAGTTGGACTCTGATATCTAAAACACCACAATACTGAATACAAAAGAAAGTGAGCAGCACCTATCACACAACAAGTGAAATAATTCAACAATCAGGAAAAAATAAATATGTATACTTGTATCTGATTTACATACAAATTAAAACACTTCAAGTCAATTGGTTCCCATGTGAATAGGTTATCATACATTTCATCAACATATTTCTGCACTTCGATATATTAAAATATCATTCAAAATGAGAGTTTTAATTACCAGATATACTGAACATGTAACTGGCAAAGGTATCACTGATTCACATAATATATTATGCACAAAATGATATATATAATGCATTGAGTGTTGGCATGATTCAAAACATAAAATCTCATCACTATAAACTAAATCAAAATGACCAGGTCACATTTTTATGTCAAAAAGAGAGCAGATTACAACTGTATACATTATCAAGAATATTTTCTCTCTCCATCTGTTAGTAAGTCCCTGGATATCAACAGTCTCATTATTTCATTTGTTCCTGAAAGAGAAAAGGTGTCTTTAATTAATTTCAAACAAGCATATTTCTCATGAATAATTTCAGTTATCAGTTGTCTGATAGATGGGACGTCAAACAAACAATGTCGACTTTTAGAAATATCTGAGAATAGCCGGGCTATGAAATAGAAATGGATTACTTATTGTACCGTAATAAGTTTGGGAGACAATTCTAGGCTTTTTAGCTTTATACAGAAAGTACAAAGTTAATGCTAAGAAAAAAAATTATTACAAGGAAAGGGGTGCATCCCTCATAAATCTTCCAATGAATAGCTTTTCCCCATGAACTATTGCCAGGAAGTAGATGAAAATGTTTATCAATTGAAAGCCATAAATTACCTTCTAAGATTTGGTGTACCCTAATGTCCCTGACATACTGCTGTATAGCATAGTCTTTCAGATAACCATATCCACCATGCAGTTGTAAAGCTTCATTACAAATCTAGAGAAATAAATGTTAGACAGAATTAGTACTTGGGAGGTATCTTGTTCAAATACAACAAAATAGTAATTTTATATAAACAAATGCTTGTCATAATCAATACAATTAAAATGCTTATTCATTTCAACCCCCCCCCCCCCTTTCTCGCACGTGTGCATATTTAAAATAGGATGAGTTAAAGATGGAATTCTTTAATACAAACGCTTCTGGGCAAATTCAAAATTAATAGGTAGAATTTTCTGTATGTATAACCATATCATGAAAAAGGACAAAAATAGTCCTGCAAACAGCATGTTTGTTTCTCCAATTATGGTCCATAGAGATATAAAATTGTAAAAAAAAAAAAAAAAAAAAAAAAAAAAAAAAAAATTATTTTTACATGTCAGGGAAGATATTTGTGTTTCTTGACCATTTGTGTATAAAATTTCCCCTTAACAACTGTTTTAAGCTTTGTTTTCACTCCTAGTCAAGTTTCAAACATGAATTCATAATTTTTAAACCAAAAACGCTATGCACTGACTATCTGTTAGTATGTTGAGTTTACTGTCAAGTTATTTTTTCCTACGGTGAAAATACTAAACATATTGGGTAAATTAAAAAAAATACATGTACAGTAAAACTCGTTTAGTACGAACACGGATATTGGGAATTCATGGATCCCCAGCTATATAAATTCAATGAATTTCTTATATGGTTATAACGATTTACGGATATAGCGAAGTAATTTCATAGGTCCCAGCGACTTTGTTATAACCGAGTTTTGCTGTATGTGGTAAAATTAAAGCAATATGAACTGCATGTTTGACATCGGAATTTTTTTTTGCAAATTTGTAATTTACTATTTCAATGTCATAAAAATTGAACATTTATAAACTTCTGTTGTTCATTAACACATTAATGGAAGAACTTTTTAAAGCTTTGATTGAAGCAAAATTGCATTATTGTCGTCCTGTACAATAATCATTTCTTATACAATACTCTACATTTGATTGTACAAAAATATTTCTTTTGAAATGTTTTTAAAGTTTATTCTGGTCTTATTGATCAAAAGGGTTTAAATTAAATACAAATTAATCATAATAACACATTTTACCACAAAAATAAAATTCTCAAAAATGCAGCTCATATTGCTTTAAGCAGAAAGCCGGAAAAAGTCCTGGAAACAAAAAACCCGGGAGATGGTCTTTTTTCACTCATATTGAGATGCCACCACTTGCCAGTGGAGTTGCTAAATCTTAAAACTGCACTTGGCACTCAGGGCAACTGAGCAGTATGTACCAGTAGTACAATTCTCAGTTAAAAGTGGACTTTCAGTAAGGCGTGCCATTCTTGACATTACATATAATTTACACAGCTTTCATTCATTGTTAAAATAAACATAGGATAGAAATGCGGGCGAATGTTAAGAGTGTAGCCAATATCTAATAAAAGCATCTCATACGGCGAAGACGTGTCACTTACGTTGTCTCATCATTGGCAACAACAATTTCAACTTCCTGATGTTATTAATTTCTTCACCAATGAGAATCTATTTGCCATTTGACAGACATTAATTACGTAGCACCAAGAATGCCAAGTCCAAGGTTAACTGAGAATTGTACTAAGAGATCTATTTTGTGTCAGCACCTATGATAGACAGGACTGCGGCTTATAGGGTCTCCTCTGAAAAAACAGTTTTCACCTTCCACAGTGGGATTTGAACCTTTGACGTTAGAATCATCTCATTATTCCGGAACTCTTGATCAAACACTTTAAACCCTGTACCAAGCAAATGACTACAACCAGGGAGAAAAAAATATAATAAAACTTAATTATAATTTAGGAGAATCATTAAGTCTGTTACTTTTGAGCATTCTTCTGTAGCAAAATATTTGGCCATGGAACACAAGGACACTTTCTCTGGCCAGTCCTCATCCAGGGCTTTGGCAGCCATTCTGACTATGTTTCTTGAGGTTACAAGTTTTGTGGCCATTTCTGCCAATGTGAATTGGAGATGCTGAAAAAAATATTACAAGTATGACTTATGCTTAAAATATGATTGGTGAGCTATACACCTTTTTTTTTTAAATATTTGATTTTGAAAAATTTTATTTTCACATTGAAATAATTTTGTAACAGACATTCAAAAATAAAATCCAATTACACTTACTCTTCTTTAAACTTTCTAATCATACTGCCTGTGTTAAGCATGAAACTCTAACTTAATTCCTTTTTACCTGGAAACTGTCCAATGTCTTTCCAAACTGTTTTCTGACTTTGAGATGATCCCTAGCAAGTTCAAGGCTAGATTGTGCAGCCCCTAATGAGCACGAAGCTGTAAACATACACTAATGAATTTTTTAAAATGCTCCAAAGTAAATAAATTGAAGTGGAAAAGTCATCATCACAAAAACTTGTTCAGATACTGCCAGATATTGTCTAGATACTGCCATGTCTCATCTCAGCTCTGAGCCTCTCTATTTTCTGTGGTACATCAATTTTCATCATCTTGAACAAATGTACAAGTTTCACAAAAGCTGACACCCCCCCCCCCCACTCCAAAATGATATCAATAAGCACTAATTTAGGAAATTCATGTTCTTGAAATCTTCATAAAAGAGCATCGGTAACTTTCAAAAGTAAAAGGACAGGAATGAGCTGTGACTTCATCTGTCATAACTCTATTTGCTATTACCTATGTTGATCCTTCCTCCATTCAAACCTCTCATGGCAATCTTAAATCCATCCCCCAGCTCCCCTATCAGATTTGAAGCAGGTACCTCACAATCCTCGAAAATAACAGCTCGGGTAGGTTGGGAGTTCCAGCCCACCTGAAAAAAAAGTTACACTGTAGAGAAAACTTAGTCATATGTGTGAAAACTGAATTACAATGGAGTAGCAAAAAACACTTTTGATCTAGCTCATTATTGCATATAATACACAAATCAAATATTTCTTACTTACTATAAAATCACTTTTAGATACCATTAGGAAATAATAAATATATTACTTTGAAAACAAAATAATTAATTTTCATATTTTATCGCATTTTCAAGAGTTAGCTCCCTTAACACAATGCTTAATGTATATTTTGCATGTAAAAAAAAAGTAAATTCCCTTCACTTTTCTTTGAGTGGATAACAAGTTAATGGGGATTTTATGAATGTGATAGGTAAAAAGTATATACACAAGATGTTTGCTGATGTACTTGATTTAGCAGAAGCTTAATTCTTACCACCAGGCATTAAACAGAATACAACGCCAAATCTAATACAGCTACAGTACCTTTAATACAAAGTTGTAAATGAAAATCAATACAAACCTTTTTCTCTTTTTTGCCAAAGGCTAACCCAGGAGACCCCTTTTCCACCAGCAGACAGGAGATTCCTTTAGGGCCCTGCTCCCCCGTTCTACACATGACTACATAAACATCAGTGTCCCCTCCCCCACTGATAAATGCCTGGAATCAGAGAGACTGTTCAGTGTTAAAGAGAGATACAAATTATTAAAAGAATAATTAAGATTAGATGCAAATAATTGAAAAGATATTACCATAATATTTCAATTTAATTACTTCAAAAATAGCATTGTCAGAATTTATTTTAACACGTACATATATAAAATTAAAACATTGCTGTGACGTCATGCCTTTGTTCTTGCAGTCTAAAAAGTTACCTGTAGCCGTCCGATAATAATAATTACCAGTCTGATAATATATTATCGGACGGCGATGATAACAAAATCGGACGGTATTTAAAAAACAGAAAATAAGAATGAAATAAAGGTTAGATGTATGTCCAGAAACCAAAAAAATACTAGGAGAAAAATTAGGGCAAAGCACAGGCACATGGAAATTAAGCTGCTACCAAAAAGTAAATCCATGAAAAAAATCGAACTAATCCTTCCTCAACAATAATACTTTCCACTCCTCTAAATAAGAGTCTGCAAATCTCCTAATTTTTTTTGTTTGTTCCCCGATGGCCGCTCTTTTAAAATGAAGGATTCTGAGAATTTCCACGATATGAACTTAAACTTCAGGATAAAAATCTGCACTTTTACTTTCCATGGTGATGGTTATAATATCACCCAAAAGTATGTCTGTTTCAATATCAATTTATGCACATAATAAATAAAAATTCCAAAATAAAAAAATGAATAAGAAAATAAATCTTCGCCACCGGTCCCTGTCCTGCTTAGCTAGACGACTGCCATTGAATGAATGAAGCGAAACAAGAGTTCACTCACTGTTTTTATTGTCTCATTTCTTTTGTCTACTTATTAGACGGGTAGAAAACAATGGATGCCCGAACTCCCATTGTGTTATTATTGGACTCCTTCAGGTAACTTTTGGACATTTAAATGGCAATGTTTTAAGTAAGATATATGCCTCATACTATTCTATATGTAAAATTATCAGACAGTTTTCGGCCCTAACGGGCCTCAAACAGTCTGATAATTTTACATATAGAACAGTATTCGGCATATATCCATTACTTATACATGTAGACATGCATAATATATAAATGTTATCAATGAGAGTAAATCATTGTAAACATTTATTTTCAAAAATCCAAAGAATGATTATTAAATAAATATGCATTATATACTAAAAAATTTCATAAAATACTTCCTCTAGATATCAATTCCAAATAGACAATTATTTCCCCAGAATTCATAATATGTGATGAAATCTCTCTAGTATAATGCTCACCTTTGATCCATTGAGTATAAATTTATCTCCCTGTCTTTTAGCCGTGGTGCTGAGGTTAGCTGCATCACTCCCATGGTTAGGCTCAGTCAAGCAGTAAGAGGCAAGTTTGTCCATAGAACCAAGCTCAGGAATCCATTTCTGTTGGAGGTCTTTGTTTCCAAATTCATCAATCATCCAGGCACACATACTGTGGTGGAAAGAAAGAGAGATAATATTGCATTGTATATAGAAGTGCATATAACTCATTATTGATAAAATTTCTAATCTATTAAAAGGTTCTTTTCCACAATTAATGTGTTAATTGTAAAAATAGTACATCCCAGAACAAACATGTACATGCACTTCATCTGGGATGCTAACTTATTTCCTTCAATACACTCAAATGATCAATATAATTCAAGAAGTGAATAAATAAATGTTGCATTACTTAGCATGTTGCTTAGCTATAGCTTTCGGTTATAGTTGATAAAAACCATGACACTGTGACCTACTTATGAATGCTTATATAAGCTGTGGTGCTGGCACACCCCTGAGACAATGCCTCAAATATCACTGATGCATCCATACGTCCTAACCCTGTCCCTCCATTTTCTTCTTTACAGTAAATAGCTCCGAATCCCAGTTCGGCAGCCTTCTTCATTGTATCTACTGGGAATATTTCCTATAGAGCAACAAATACACATTAATTACTCTCAAGTACAATACAAATTGTCATTGAATAAAAATGTTAGTTTATTATTGCTATGACTTGTTTGTAAATCTCTGATTCAATGAACATTGTTGAAAGTTATGATGCATTTTCCTTCAGAGTCATACAAGATTCTTGTATAATTATATAAACATATTTTATAGCAAATACATGACCTTTTATTTCTCTGATTGAATTAAAATTCTAGTTATTAAAGTTAATGTTTGCATTGCCTGACTTTTAATCGGCTCATTTATTATAGTGCAAAGTGCTGCTTGTCCCTGTGAGCTATTAAAACAATGCCTGCATGTACGTGTGAAGAGAAAATTTGGACTTTGCACATTGATCCAAATGAATTTTTCTGCAGTTATCTGTAGTCCCATAAACTTAAGTGAAATGCATCACACCACAGACTATGTTCTCGTGGTAACAAGATATTCCAAGAAAAAAATCCACTTGCCTTGATTTAAATAGATAATTTATATAGCAGATTATTAGAAAATTTAACACTTTTTTCATTTTGCACTTTTAAGACTTCAATTCGTTAATGCAACATATATACAAGTTGACACAATGTCATGTGACGTCAGAGTCTGTATGTAGCAAGTAGCACGTGCAGTATGACAAGCCCAAACTAAATTAAACAGGTTGGGACCAATCGCCCAAATGGGATGTAATAGTCCATTTGGGATATAATATCCCAAATGGGCTATAAATTTACAGTGCAAAAATTGGAAATTTTTATTTTGGCTATAAAAATCACAAATCCGTATCAGGGCACTTAAAAAGGAATAACTTTTGGTAAGCAAGTTTTTCTGCAACCCTACCGTTTGTAAGATTGATCCCCAAGAAGTTACGGAACTTCCGAGGGATCAATCTCCTAAACGATGGACATACAGGAAAACTTGTCAACCAAAAGTTATTCCTTTTTAAGTGTCCTGATGCGGATTTATGATATTTATAGCCAAAATAAAAATTTTCAATTTTTGCACTGTAAATTTATAGCCCGTTTGGGATATTATAATCCCAAATGGACTATTATATTCCATTTGGGCGATTGGTCCCAACCTGTTAAAACTGTCTCTGCTCGCCCTACTTGTCACACCATCAACATATTACCTACTGTTAAGTCAAGCAAAAATCAGAGTTGCCTAAAATTCTGTTTAAAATACAGAAAAAGAAGGACATGCAAGATAATGTACCTCTTCATCCCATTTAGCCATGTTAGGATATAACTCATTTCTAGCAAAGTCTGTTGCAACTTTCTGTATCTGTTTTTGTTCATCTGTTAATCCTAGCGAAGCTATATTAAAAGAAATGTAAAGTTGCATTATACACAATGAAAACAAAATCTATGACATTTGTATGCACTGTCAGATTCACTATATTTTCTTATAAAAGGCAACTTCTTGATCAGTTAACATTAAAAGTAGGCTTAAAATAGATTACGATTAACACAGCTTCCATCGACCCATATTTCTCCAATACTTCTCATAGGATTCAAACTTCTGGTCCGAGAATTACATAAAACATTTTTCAATAACATAGGAAAAAGAGCACCAAAGACCCAGATTTTGACATCATTTCCTGGTTGAACAAGATGAAGCAGAGTAATAAATGGGTAGGCTTTACCTGATTGGCTGAATTGAGGTATGTAAATATTTTCATTTTAAAGTAAAAATATTAATGTTTTAAATAAATGATGGAATGTGGGAATATTACAAAAATTCTAGAAATACCAGGGGAGATTGTAGGAGTGGGGATTGATATTTTTGGCAGGGTGTCATTTACTGCCGATCTCTGTAAGTTCTAAATAACTGCAAATTTGACCTATAAACGCCGCGGAACGGTATATTTTTTTTCGTGTTTTTAATAAGTGCTTAGAACGAACTTTCAAATAATACCAGTGATTTGTTTGAACGGGAATTAGTAAATTACTTGGAGGGCAAAAGGTTTGTATAGAGTTCTATGGGAAATTAATTGGTACTCTTTTCCCTATAGAGACCCCATTTTTTAATAAGTAAAGTAAAGTGAAAGTCATGAAAAGTTATTTTTAGCAATTTATTTGAATATTGAAGACATTTCGAGAGAAAAATTAGCAAAAATTTGAATTATTTATCTGTGGAATTAGGGTTAGAGGTGATTTTGGGTCTTTTGTAGAGATTGGGGGGGGGGGGGGTTACAGAGGATGGAAATTGGTAAAACAATGTGTAGTAGACTTGGCCATAGGAGAAAGGTAAGTTAAGAAAATGTATCAGATTGATCTTCTAATAAATGTTTGTATGTATTCATAAATTTATGTATGTATTTTACATGTACATGTAATTGTGTATTTATATGATTTGCTATATATGTGTACTTTTGGAAGTGTAGGATGGTGGCCTGGTGTTAATTTTTGTTTAGTTTCTTATACGTCTGCACGTTTGGTATCTTTTCGAATAATTTATTCGGCCCTTAAAAGTGCGTTTCGTGGTGTTCATGTGAAAGGAGGTCATTTTCTGTCTTGACGTATCATGTCGGTAGTGTATGTGATCCTCTGGATTGCCCCCCTTTGACTGCGGGGGGATCTGTTTGTAGCTTTGTTGTTTCTATATTGTAGCTACACAAAGGTATGTGTTTTCCCTCTTTTTGCTCTTTGTTGTTCCATCAGGGTGACTCTCTGCAACTCATTTTCTACTGCTTTCCAGTTTTTGTACTTAGAGTTACTTCCCTTAGACTAGCTAACCAAATATGTAGAATTTCAACATGATATAATCTTAATTATTGTGACCTTAGGCTTCTGATTTTGTTTTCTTGAATTATTGGAATGGCATTACTGCATGTATCACATTTGACTTTTCTAATATTTACATGTAATTACATGTAAAATTGTAAAACATGTATTCCACCCTTGACGGATCCATTTTTTAAACATTCGGCCATGTAGAAGATATGTAATTTGGTAATTTTTCAGAAAACTTGAAAAATATTGCTGTTTTCTTTATGATTTATGCTTAATTTGACTAACTTTATTGATTTATTTTCATTTAAAGACTATAGAGGACTTTCATATTTCAGCTTCCTGGACCCGGGAGAGCTTGGTATCTGATCGGCGGGGGGCATTTTCTCTATATAAGAAGAAGATGGAGACTCGCTACCCACCCGATATATTTTGTCGGACAGATTTCTGTACATTGCAGGTAAATTTTTCATTTATTAACTATTCAGCCTCTTATTGTGGTGTACATTTTGGGGTTTTAAGTCAATTATTGCATTTCTTAATTTTTTACAAATTAATCTGAATTCCCCTTTTTAAAGCATGAAATTCAATAATGTAGATTATGGTTGTACTGTATAAGACTATCAGACACTGCACTTTCATATGTTATCAAAAGTATTAATTTTCTCTTGTCTGAATTAATTGTAAACAAATATAATAGGGGGCACCTGCTATTTCTCTAAGTGTCTTTCACTGGGGGGTGGGGAAACTTTTTTATATATACTTAAGCAACAGGAGGGGTTAGATAAGAATCATTTAGTATATCAGAGTCTCAAACAATTTACTTTTCATAAGCGTAAGAAAATTTCTATATCAGTCTTTTTAAAACCTTTTAATTTTGCTTAATTAATTATGATTTATCAAATTTTGGACCTTTTTTCTTTATTCTGGGTAGATTCCACCCCTATGAAAAAATTGACACAATTATGACTTTATATCATTTTATTAACATCAAAAAACAAAAGCATGTTATTTTATAAATATTTCATTCATTACAGTGACAACTGTATCCAGATTTCATCACAGGAATGAAAGTTTTTCACTCTTTGGAAAAGCACCTGCAGCAGGGAGGGGACATTCATTAAGATGGCCACAGATTCCAAGACACTGAAGTGACAGGCCTCAAATTTCATACATGTATATTGGTAAGTATAAGGTCTTTGAAAATTACAAAATTGACTAATTCTGGGATAGGTAAATATGTAAGTATAGGAAAAAGAGCACCAAAGACCCAGATTTTGACATCATTTCCTGGTTGAACAAGATGAAGCAGAGTAATAAATGGGTAGGCTTTACCTGATTGGCTGAATTGAGGTATGTAAATATTTTCATTTTAAAGTAAAAATATTAATGTTTTAAATAAATGATGGAATGTGGGAATATTACAAAAATTCTAGAAATACCAGGGGAGATTGTAGGAGTGGGGATTGATATTTTTGGCAGGGTGTCATTTACTGCCGATCTCTGTAAGTTCTAAATAACTGCAAATTTGACCTATAAACGCCGCGGAACGGTATATTTTTTTTCGTGTTTTTAATAAGTGCTTAGAACGAACTTTCAAATAATACCAGTGATTTGTTTGAACGGGAATTAGTAAATTACTTGGAGGGCAAAAGGTTTGTATAGAGTTCTATGGGAAATTAATTGGTACTCTTTTCCCAACAAACTTGTCCTTCTTAGAGCAGCCATGATTAACACCTTTTTTGTTCTTTTCATAAAGAGAGTTCTAAAAGGGGAAAGCACTTTGCACGAAGCTCATTTTCAGTATTTATTTGTGCGTGTGTGTGTTTTTTTTTACAGCATGAACAAAGGTGCTATAAATAATTAAAAAAAATACATACATATTTCTCTTTTTTAATATTTTCATTTCGCCTGATACATCAGAAAATATGTAGATATGCATGGGGCTTGAAATACCATCGGGCTTGATATCTTGAAAATAACAAATTCAAATTTTGACGTCATTTCTTCTGTAGTAAGCCGGCCACGTCAACTTCGAGAAAAAAGACCACCTTTTCAGGTAAATTAAACCCAGTATTGATGTTTGGGATATTTTTGGACTTTTTAAATTTGATGTATTCCTTGTTTATTGTCAAAAAAGCATAGTATTTGGTGCATTTAAGACACAAATGTAGGGCTGAAACGATACGCCCCCTCCACGATACGACACGTATTGCAATACTTGTGTCACAATTCAATTTTTTCAATACGATACAATTTAAGAACGAAACTATTCATAAGGTTAAAGAAAACGTACTCAGATTTAAAAAAACAAAGAGTAAAAAGTGGTGATACAATAGAAATATACTACCAGGGGTATGCAATCTAAAAATTCAAGTACTAGCCCATGGGCTAGTGGTAGCAATAAAGTTACTAGCCCCAAGTAAAAAGTTATTAGCCCAAATATAGGGACAAAAATTAAAATAAAACAAATGTTGAAAAAAAAAATAATCATCGAAAAAGTCAGGGTACTAGGTCAATCTTTTGAAAATTAAAATTTTATTCTCACTAAAAAATTAAATCATATAAAATTAATGATTATGACAGAAAATAAAAATGAATTTAAAACAAGAGGCCCAGGGGCCACAGCGCTCACCTGAGCACATCAGCTAGGAAAAAACACATCAGATCAGAACTGAAGTTAACTTAAGTTGGGGGGGGGCTTGAATTTTAACCACCAAGGGGATCATAATTTGAACAAACTAGAATCTACATTACCTGAGGATGATTCCATACAAATATAACTAATCCTGGCTTTGAAGTACTTGAAAAGAAGATTTAAAAAGGTTTCCCTATGTATTTCTATGTAAAACTTTGGTCGGCCATTTTGGCCACACCCTTACCCCGTGGGTCATGACTTGAACAAACTTGAATCTACACTATCTGAGGATAATTTCACTTGGGTTTCATCTTTCCTGTTTCAATGGTTCTTGAGAAGAAGATTTTTAAAGATTTTTCCTATATATTCCTATGTAAAACTTTGATCGGCCATTTTGGCCCCGCCCTACCCCCGGGGGTCATAATTTGAACAAAAACTTGAATCTACACTACCTGAGGATGATTCCACATGAGTTTCATCTTTCCTGGCCCAGTGGTTCTTGAGAAGAAGATTTTTAAAGATTTTTCCTATATATTCCTATGTAAAACTTTGATCGGCCATTTTGGCCTCGCCCTACCCCCGGGGGTCATGACTTGAACAAACTTAAATCTACACTACCTGAGGATGATTCCACACGAGTTTCATCTTTCCTGGCCCAGTGGTTCTTGAGAAGAAGATTTTTTTAAAATGCCAATAATTTTTCTCTAATTCATGATTATCTCCCCTTGGAAAAAGGAGTGGCCCTTCTTTTGAACAAACTTGAATCCCCTTCACTCAAGGATACTTTGTGCCAAGTTTGGTTGAAATTGGCCCAGTGGTTCTTGAGGAGAAGATGAAAATGTGAAAAGTTTACGCCGACGACGACGACAGACAACGGACAAATTTTGATCAGAAAACCTCACTTGAGCCTTCGGCTCAGGTGAGCTAAAAAATATCTGAAGATCTTTCCTTTTCTGATTATTTTGCACTAGCTCATTTAGAATGAAAATAAATTCATTTTGTTTTCATATTAAATCCTTAAATACACTAGAAATATATTTCACGTGAATCACACTGATCTTTCAGTTGATTGAGTGATCGTAAATAATTTAATGAGATATCTGCTTGTATTTACAATAAACGGAGGAAATTCGGATTAGGAAAAAAACGATCGTTTTTGGAAGTAAATAAGTCAGGAAGTACTGCAAAATGGAGAAAATTATGGAGATTTATTGACAGGAGGAGCATGCTGCCTGGAAAATATTCACTGGTTGGGAATTTGATAGCAAGAAATGAGTAAAATACCGGTTGTACTTTATGTATTACATGCGTAGTTATAATTTTAATTTTTGTTAATTGCACATCTCTGATACTTGTGGTTCTGTTGATTAAGAACACTTTATTCGTATAAATAATAGCAGAGGCAGCCTACTCTGATACTTTACCGTCCCAGTTTTCTCCCTCGTGTGTGTCAAACTGTTAAAATAAGATCGAACCCGATCTATTTCAAAGAGTTAACCAAACCCGATTATAAAAAAACATATCGAACCGAAAATCGAGATGGTGAATCGAAAATTGAACCGAGCACTTATATCGAACAATATCGATATTTCGGTGAATCGTTTCAGCCCTACCCATTTGGTGTTAAAGTAAAATAGCTCTAACCTATCAATCATCACATTCTATCAAGAGGCAGACCTACTACAACAACCAGATAGGTAGGTATGTCAGTTGGTAGACCACCAGTCTAGATTTCAGGGGACAATAACTGGTCCATAACTTTTTCAACCTTTCATTGACATAATTAATGTACAATCTAATGAGTTCATCCATGCTAAAGAAATGCATTGCATTAGGTTGATTAACACTAACAGGCTTACTATGATGACAGTGCAACTGTTGAGAAAGTGCATTTATGTATTCATTTTTGGATTCCTATTCATTTTTAACTTAGATCCGCCTCTTCAATCACAAAGACATTTAGAATATCAAGAGCTTGACGTCACGACATTTTAGGCTAAATGCATTTCTATAGCAAAAAAACCAAAAATCAAAGAGTGTTAAATCAACAATCTAATCTGCTCTCCATTAATAAAAGTATGGTAGTAACTTTTTTCCTATTTGAAAGCTTTTGTTGATACTGCCATGCATAGTTAGCAATGATAGGCAGTTTTCAAAAGATTATGGGTTCAGGGGATACTACAGGAAAAATATCATTTAGATCTAGCTGATAATGTGTACAGTCTAAATTCTTCTTTGCTCAGGTGTTGTTTTAAGAGCCATATTTGTTTTCTCTAAAAACCGGCTACCGGCCAAACTGACCACTTCAATTGACAAAAATGCTGCTTTGAAATAAAAATTTGTTGTTATATATAGGTCCACAGAGATTTTCTTCATAAACCTCAGCCCCATGCCTGTTACAACTGAACTCTAACCCTTTACTTTAAAATAAAGGGAAAACACTGCACATTAATATTGCCAGCAGCACTTCACATGTTTCTTTGACAATGTACAATTTTCATGTTTATAGTTAATCACATATTAAAGATGGTAAGTAATCTGGGAAAGAAATAAATGCATTTATTAGATAGCCACGATAGACCAATCAAATATGATTTGTAGATCTTCTGATATTCTTTTAATTGTAAGTGTTTAAACAATTAGATTTTAAGTTTTGTATTTTTCACCCAATTTTATTTGCTATCATAAAAGAAAAAATTCATTTAGCAAACCTGGTGTTGGTGTTTTGATTGACAACATAGATCTGAGAATACTGCATATATAGATCAATCATCATGAAAGATACTGCATGCATATTTTATACATACGCCTAGTATTTGTAAATTGTGGTAAACTGTGCACATTGATAGACATCATAAACTTTGTGTTCATAAATTGCATTTATCATTTTTCGTATTTCAACTTGATTTCTTATAACTAATTAAACACAGTAAATTTTGTTTTTTTTTGTGATTTTAATGATTTTAGCCTATTTAACAGAGTAAAGCTGACAAGATGGCCACGTTGGCAGAGCAGCCATGTTATACCCTGATCAACATTCCCTCTGACGCAGAGCCTCCAACTGAGTTGCAGCTTAGACAGGATTTAGGTCAGTTTATACTTTAATTTTAATGAAAAACAACCTCAGATTTCAGGAAATACATTTTGGTATCTCAAGTATGAATATCTTGAATACTATTGATGTCAAAGTGATTTGGAATTGGAACTCTCAGTCTTTAATTTCAGTAGTATTCAACCCTGGAAATCTCAAATCCTCAGATATTTCAAAGTATCTGAAATTTTTCTCGGTCCCATTGAGTCTGATGTGACAAAGTTTAATTGTATTTGTTTAAAATACAAAGATGAAAGGAAAAAATGGGAGAATAATTTTTTTTTTATCTCTATGTAAACCCAGCATCAGATAGATTCTAAATAATTTTGAAACATGCAATATAATGGAACAAAGAGTGACTAAAAAAATTAACATATATTATTTTTACATCTTAGAAAAAGGAGACATTAAGACCAAGACAGAGGCACTGAAAAAGACAATCCAACAGATTCTGAATGGAGAGAAACTCCCCTCTTTGTTGATGGCTATTATTAGATTTGTCATGCCAATCCAGGATCACATGATCAAGAAGTTATTGCTGATCTTCTGGGAGGTGGTCCCTAAATATACACCTGACGGCAAGATGTTACACGAGATGATTCTGGTCTGTGATGCCTACAGAAAGGTTGGTATATTTTGATTTTATTATTTTATATGGAGAAAAAGCTTATTAATATTTACTTAAACTGTTTTTTTTTTTTAAATGTAGGTAATGTATATTTGTCTTTAGTTTATTGCCAATTGACAAGATGCATATAAATGATAAGAATGATACAATCATATATCTGTGACTTTTGTTCAACTTTCTTGTGCATACAGTATACTATAAAAAAAAAAAATTAGCTCTGTGTTAAGAGAGAAATATCTGTGCATTTCAACCAATGAGGTTGTCCAATGTCCATACAAGTTATATGGTAACTAGATATGATCATTTCAATTTAAAATTTTTGTAGGATTTGCAGCATCCCAATGAGTTTATCCGAGGCTCCACCCTGAGGTTCCTGTGTAAGTTAAAGGAGGCGGAGCTGTTAGAGCCCCTGATGCCCGCCATTAGACAGTGTCTGGAGCATCGACACTCCTATGTCAGAAGGAATGCTGTACTGGCTATCTATACCATCTACAGGTATCAGACCTCAAAACTATATAAAATCATTTTATGCAAAGTGTTTATTTCCCTTTATTGTCAGCTTTGCAAGAAAAATCATGAAAAATTAAAAGCTATTTGAGTGCTGCTCCGAGAATCTTATTAAAACCATTTTCCAGCTTATAGAACTTAACAAATACACATGTTCTTCATACATACTTGTAGATACAATTTATTCCAGTGGACATGAATGATAGGGTCTTTAATCTTGTTTTGATATTTTGAACAGGAACCATGACTCCCTGATCCCAGATGCACCTGAACTGATTGCCAAGTTCTTGGAGGGAGAGCAGGATATGTCCTGTAAGAGAAACGCCTTCATGATGCTGATCCATGCAGATCAGGTAAGAAGAATACCAAAGGTTCAACTTTAAAAGCCTTGTGTTACAGAAGCAAAATAAGCTTCATGATCCCTGTTTAATATGTAGAATAAAATTAACGCAGTAAACATGACTTAGAAATATTGGACTGATTGATTTGAAGGAGAGAGCCCTGAACTACCTGAGTAGCTGTATTGACCAGGTCAACTCCTTTGGGGACATTCTACAGCTGGTTATTGTGGAGCTGATCTATAAAGCAAGTTATTCCCTAAAATAAATGATAAACATTGAAACCTTACTGATAATGAATAATTGTAAGCAATATTTTGTCCAAGAACATGCATTTCTCACTGTTACAAATGGTAAAATTTGAAATCTATTCCGAAATTAATATGAAATAACATTTGAAAAGACAGAAGAAGATTGAGGAATATGATGTTAAGAAATTGTTAGTTTATAAATGATTTTAATCTTGCAGGTCTGTCACAATAACCCCTCTGAGAGAGCTCGTTTTATCCGCTGTATTTACAACCTCCTGAACTCCCAGAGTCCCGCTGTTCGCTACGAGGCAGCTGGTACCCTAGTCACCTTGTCTAGTGCCCCTACAGCAGTCAAGGTAAACAACTATTTATTTGTATTTTTTCTTATGATCTCAAATGGAGAAAATTTTTTATTAGAATTATGCATAAAATCATGAAAAAGACATGAAGTCAACAATTGTTTGTTCATTATTCAGGCTGCCGCTAGCTGTTACATTGAACTGATCATCAAAGAAAGTGATAACAATGTCAAACTAATTGTGTTGGATCGACTGATTGCACTGAAGGAGGTACCTGCCCATGAGAAAGTCTTGCAGGTATGTTCTCTGTAGAAAGGACTCGCTATCAAGTCCATTTTTAATGTGTAGATTGTTGTATAATTTTAGACACAAATGCATTATTATGATGTTTAAAATTGATGTATATTCATCTTTCTTAGGACCTTGTGATGGATATTTTGAGAGTCCTCAGTGCCCCTGATTTAGAAGTAAGGAAAAAGACCTTGACCCTGGCCCTTGACCTTGTGTCCTCAAGGAACATTGAAGAGGTAAGGTCTACAACAAAATTATTGTCCAAAAATTATATTTTCTAAGTTGAATACAGTGTTTTCTGAGCTTATGTAGAAAGTATGTTTTGATAAATGTTGATTTTGTGTACGCAGATGGTCCTGGTGCTCAAAAAAGAAGTGGTAAAGACTAACAATGTAGAACATGAGGACACAGGGAAGTACCGACAGCTGCTGGTCAGAACCCTCCATCAGTGTTGTATCAAATTCCAGGATATTGCCACCACCATTATACCTGTGGTATGTTCTATGTTAAAACTGGAAAAATACATTCATGAGAATGAAATATCCTGATAATGAAAAAATCAGTAATTTATGTAGTTCTTCACTTATTTCAAATTGGTGGGGTGGGGTTGGACATAAAATTGAGCTCTAAATATATCAATTTGTGAATTCTGTTTGAGAATTTGAAAAAAAAATGTATTCATGGAAAATAAAAATTATGCGATTCAGTGGAAAGTCTAAGAATAATTTCTTTTCATGGCTTCAAATTGTTATCTACCAAAGAAAGATAATGAAAAATAACTCATAATACATTATAAAGGAAAAATTGAGAATCATTTTTGTTCTCCTGCAAACAGTTGATAGAGTTCCTGGGAGACCAGAATGAGCTTGCTGCTTTAGACGTGCTGGTCTTTGTTCGGGAGGCCATCCAGAGATTTGAGTCTCTGAGGGGACTGATCATCAGTAAGCTACAGGAAGTCTTCCCCTCCATCAAAGCCATGAAGTAAGTGCACTCCATCAAGTTTCACTGGTTTCTTTTAGTATCCACACTTTACCCTGTTGTTTTTATTTTGTAAATGCTTTGATGATAATTTTTTGCACAGCTGATCTATGTGATAATAATGTATTATTTGTATTTTTTTGCCAAGATGCTCTGTTTAATGAAAATGCCATGATTGAAATTTTTCCCGGATGATCTTTGCGATAAAATAATTTGATTGTAATTTTTTTCCAATATTATTTGTGGGATGAAAATTATTTGATCTCTTTTTTTTTGTCCTGCTTCAGGATTCATAGAGCTGCCTTGTGGATTTTGGGAGAGTACTGTGAATCTAATGAGGATATACAGAATGTGATGACTATGATCAGACAGGCTCTTGGAGAGGTAGGAATAACATATCCAAATTGTAGTGTCCATTTATACTGTATCACATACTTTTTTATTATGCATATATATATATTAGGGATGTCAAATCGGTCAATTTTAAATACTCGGTTACTCGGACGTTTTTCCGATCGAGTACCCGGGTACTCGGTAAAAGTGTATATAAATATGAACAAGTAAACATTGTAAACTCTTGTAGAAATAAAACCACATGCTTTGATAGGAGGTTTACCCGTTAGTGTATTTCTGTTGTAACAACGATGAGCACTTCGTGCTCGATGAAATTTAATATAGCATCGTTAATGTTCAATTTATCCATCAGATAAACACAAGAAATAAAATCATAAGTAGTTCACAGATTTTTTGTTTCAAAAATTAATCTGCTCCGTATATTGTAATGTAACTCTTTGTTGCGTTTGACGTCCAGGTATCAGTCGTACAGTTTAACTTGAACTTGATCAAGTTCGCCTAACAGAGCGGATTTACGGTTTTAATACACATTTCGAACATAGATTTTCTAGTATTATGGGACGGTATTTTGTAGTTTGGTGCAATGATGGACATGTTTTTTTAAGCCTTTGGCTTCAACCATTTGTATTGGCACGTAATCAAACACGACCATATCAACAATCGCGCGGGCAATATCATCTGTCTCTTTTCCCGAGAATTTTTATAAGACTTCTCGCAGAATTAACAAGAATGTCAAATTTATCAAATCATAATAGACCTTAAACGATGTTCAGTGAAAACAAATAATTAAAGTTAATCAAAAATAAGGGTAGAAGACAGCCAAAGGTGAGAAAAGCCAGGTTACAGGTGCTTGGTCACGATAATTACTGTATAAACACTGCCACGGGCGATAACGGTCATTTAGAGGAGTAGGAAACCCTAATTACTGTATGTACAAGTGCAATGAGTATTTTACCTTTTAAAACAGATTGTTTAATGCATTAATAAATAAGCTAAGAAATATTCAAAAATATACATCCGAGTAACCGAGTACTGATTTTAGTATTCGATACTCGGACGTTCGATCGAGTACCCGGTTAACCGGGTACTCGTTGACATCCCTAATATATATCATGTACATTTGAACGTTTGTTGTTATCCTGGTCATGAAAACTTATAAATTATTAGCTTTACTGATGATTTTGATGTTCTGTATTATACACTTTAATGCATGTATTTTGTAGATTCCAATTGTGGATGATGAGATTAAGAAAGCAGCGGGAGAAGTGGAAGAAGATGGTCAGTTTTTCCTTATTTAAGTCCTTTTTGGTCCTAGATTAACACACAGTCTTTGATTCTTTTCAATTCATTATGCACAAATCTTTAAAGCACAGGTATATTTGGTTTTCGAGAAACTAGATTTTGAGATACTAATTGGTTTGAATGTTGTTGACAGAGATGCAGTCGGGAGGACAGGTACAGAAGCTGGTGACGGCTGATGGTACCTACGCCACACAGAGTGCATTTAGTACTGCTTCATCCTCAGCAAAGAAGGAAGAGAGGTAGGCTTTACTGAATCATTTAATAGAATAATATGTACTTCCTCATTCATAAATTATATGACATGAAGATCATTCTGCTATATATGCAAGGTGGAAAAATCTTAGAGAAGTCACTTTTTCACTCATTTGATCCTTATTAAAGGTATTGTATCTGCAGTGCCTTATCAAGTGAACAGGTGCTACAAATAGCATTTGACAATGATGGACAGGCAATCTATAGTAATCACTGTTACAGGGAATACAGAATTTTCACTTTTGTTGAAGTGATTTTCATTCTGAGGAGTTTTTATATTAACTTAATGGATATAACAAATTATGTTTATATCAATACAAAATTGCTCACCCCTGGCACTTCACCATAAGCATATTTTACTTTAAGAAAGAAGAGTTCATGACCTTTGATTTAAAACTGTTAATATAGCATAGAAAGAGAATCTTAACTCTATTTTGCTAAGCTCCACAGGTGCAAAATTATATAGCTTTTTAGCTCACCTGAGCCGAAGGCTCAAGTGAGCTTTTCTGATCACATTTTGTCCGTCGTCCGTCCGTCTGTCCGTCTAGCTGTCCGTCTGTCCGTCCGTCTGTAAACTTTTCACATTTTCGACTTCTTCTCAAGAACCAATGGGCCAATTTTAACCAAACTTGCTACAAAGCATCCTTAGGTAAAGGGGAGTTTAAATTGTAGAAATGAAGGGCCAAGTCCCCTTACAAAGGGAGATAATCAAGAAAAGGCAAAAATAGGGTGGGGTCACTAAAAAATCTTCTTCTCAAGAACCACCGGGCCAGGAAAGCTGAAACTTGTGTGGGAGCATCCTTGGGTAGTGTAGATTTTAAATTGTTAAAATCGTGACCCCCGGGGGTAGGGCAGGGCCACAATAGGGAATCCAAGTTTTACATAGAAATATATAGAACAAATCTTTAAAAATCTTCTTCTCAAGAACCACTGGGCCAGGAAAGCTGAAACTTATGTGGGAGCATCCTTGGGTAGTGTAGATAATAAATTGTAAAAATCATGACCCCTGGGGGTAGGGCGGGGCCACAATATGGAATTCCAAGTTTTACATAGAAATATATAGAACAAATCTTTATATATCTTCTTCTCAAGAACCACTGGGCCAGGAAAGCTGAAACTTATGTGGGAGCATCCTTGGGTAGTGTAGATATTAAATTGTAAAAATCATGACCCCTGGGGGTAGGGCGGAGCCACAATAGGGAATCCAAGTTTTACATAGAAATATATAGAACAAATCTTAATAAATCTTCTTCTCAAGAACCACTGGGCCAGGAAAGCTGAATCTTATGTGGAAGCATCCTTAGATAGTGTAAAATTTTAAAAATCATGACCCCTGGGGGTAGGGCGGGCCCACAATAGGGAATCCAAGTTTTACATAGAAATATATAGAACAAATCTTTATAAATCTTCTTCTCAAGAACCACTGGGCCAGGAAAGCTGAATCTTATGTTGGAGCATCCTTTGGTAGTGTAGATATTAAATTGTTGAAATCATGACCCCTGGGGTGGGCGGGGCCACAATAGGGAATTCCAAGTTTTAAATAGAAAAATATAGAACAAATCTTTAAAAATCTTCTTATCAAGAACCACTGGGCCAGGAAAACTGAAACTTATGTGGAAGCATCCTTGAGTAGTGTAGATTCTAAAGTTTTAAAATAAAAAAGGGAAGGGGGCTGTTGGGCATGATAGGTATAGCAAGAGGGGGCATCTGGTAAAGATCTGCATCACCCAAGTGACTCAGGTGAGCGATGTGGCCCATGGGCCTCTTGTTATATTTTAGTCATTGGAAGCATTTGACACAACATTTTTATTACAGACCCCCAATGAGGCAGTACATGATGGATGGAGACTTCTTTGTAGGAGCTGCCCTGGCTACCACACTGACAAAACTGGCCCTGAAGTATATTGCTAATACTCCAGACTTGAAAAGGCAAAATGTAAGCTCAACACCTTACCTATCATATAAATTTTATTAAAGAGGTAGCAAATGGGAAATGGTTGATTATGGATGATTATCTCGGTATTTTCTGGTGAAAGGAAATCTTTCATTTTATTTAAAGATTCTAATATTTATTTATAGTCCTTAGTGGCTGAGTCTATGTTGATCATGGCAGCCATCATTCATCTTGGAAAGTCTGGACTGCCCACAAAGGTGAGAATCATTTTTTTTTTCACAATAGTATGGTTTTCAAATTGTCTGACTTAAAGTCAAGTAAATTTATCTAGTTCATTGAAAAATTAGTTATTATGTAGATTTTAAGCTGAGCATTCCTCTTTATAAATTTTTTCTTGGTGCAATATAATTTATTTTAATTTTAATCCTATTTCAAATTCATTGAAATGTTATCCTCTACTGTGATTTTAGCAGATAACAAGATTTATTGAACTATGTCTAATTCATTTTAAATGTTATCCTCCATTATATTTTTAGCCAATAACTGACGATGATGTGGATAGAATAGCCACCTGTCTGAGAGTTCTGGCCGAGAAAACTCCGATGATGGGGGAGATCTTCAACAGAGATTGTAGACAGTCCCTCTCCATGATGCTGACAGCCAAAATGGAGGAAGAAAAGGAATTACAAAAGGTCAGCAGAGATATTGTGGATACACTGTACATGGTGTAAAAGTACACTTCTATAAAATCACATATTTTCATGGGAGTACATCTTTCTTCACTTGAAAAAAATATTGGTTTGAGATTGGTTTTGATGTTATTGATCAAGTCCTTGCACTTTATTGACCAAGTTCTCTACTTGAAAATTTACAATTCATGGAGGACATGAATCTCATAATTCCTTGAAAACAAAAATTTAAAAAAAAGCAGCAACAAGAAAAGTATGAAGATTTTTTCATGCCTTAAGTTTTTTTTGTGTTATTTATGATTTTCCTCCTGTTTTCAGGCCTCTGAGAAGAGAGCTGTGAAGGTACAAGCTGACGATCCTATAATGTTTGCACAGCTTATTACAGAATCTGACTGTAGAGCTAGCTACTCTAGGTAAGTGTACTAGATATACTGGTGGTCAACCAGACCTCTGACACATTACAGAATCTGACTGTAGAGCTAGCTACTCTAGGTAAGTGTTATTTGTTACGCCGATCAATGTAAAAAATGAGACAGACTCAACAACTTACAGAAGACTGTAGATAGCTACTTGTAACATGTAAGTATTATGTTAATTTGTAAATTTTGACCACAGAAAAGATAGGATACATTGCTAAGAACTTAATTTAATTAGAAATGATTTGTTATAATTTGCTTGAAATAAACAGTAATGAATGAAAAATTTTGATTTTAGGTGACCTGAAGTTGGTAGAAAAACCCACACCGATGACCATGGCACCCCATGATTTCTGTAACATTAAAGCTAATGTTAAAGTAGCTTCCACAGAAAATGGAATCATATTTGGAAATATTGGTATGTTGCACAGTTTACTTAAAGCAGTTTAATGTTTTGAAAAGATAAATGTAAAAAGCATTGTATTTATGATTGACACTTGAAACAAAACTATGTATTGAATTGTTAATGATGTGAAGCATTCCTTGTAAGCAATACTGCATACAGCTTTGATTCTGCATATCTTTATTTTAGTACACTGTATTTCTGCACTACATATAGTCATTTGTTTTTCTCAATTTTATAATATGTATCACTATTTATTAGGTATATGTATGCAAATCTCAAATTAAAATTTATTCACATGTATGTGATTCTATTTATCTGTGTATTGTGAAAATAAAGTATTTAACAGGAAACAAAAAGATACAGCATTACACATAATACTGTAATTAAAACTGTTAATGAATATGGCAATTAAATTTCAGTGTACGATGTCAGCGGAGCAGGAAGTGACCGTAACTGTGTGGTGCTGAACGACATCCACATTGACATCATGGATTACATCGTCCCCGCCTCCTGTGACGACACGGAATTCCGACAGATGTGGGCGGAGTTTGAGTGGGAGAACAAGGTGGCCGTCAATACCAATGTCTCAGATCTCGCCGAGTTCTTACAGCACGTCATCAAGATGACCAACATGAGGTGTCTCACTCCTGAAAAGGTAATGTTTCTATCCTTTGATAATAACTATATGTTTGATTTTCCCCTTAGATATTGTCAAGTTAAAAAAGTAGTTTCTGACTAATTCGTACAACAACATATGCTAAAATTGTCTTTATTTTAAGATGTATATAACATTTTCATTAAAAAAATGTTATTACTTGAATGTAAACAATGAAAAGATTATAAGTAAAAATTTATTCAAACTTGTAGTTTGAACACATCTTTACTTTTGCAGAATAAAAAAAAAAAATTCTTGACTGGAATTAAAATTTTTATTTTATAAATAAAAATGTAAAATTTACATCAAGATTTATAACTGCAAATCTGAAAGAAGACATATTATTTTATTGTGAAGTGTAACCACATTTATACTGATTTGATGTCTTCCCTTCAGGCATTACAAGGTGACTGTGGATTTATGGCGGCTAACTTGTATGCCAAGTCTATCTTTGGAGAAAACGTGCTGGCAAATCTTAGCATTGAGAAACCTGCCCATCTGTTCAGATATGCCCCAGTTCAAGGTCACATCTGAATCAGGGCAAAAGTCAGGTAAGAGAAGCGATTTTAGTTTCAGATTCTTACCTTCACAAGGTATTATATTGGTAAAACATTATCTTCACCATCATTAAGGTCTTTGTTATGAAACATGGACGAGAAACTTCAAATTTCTGATTTGTATATCTGCCCATTTTATGAAAAATAGAACAAAATTGTAATTTTTTGACTTTACATGAAAAATTCCCGAGTCTTTTTGTTTCAAATTGTTTTAAAAATTTTGCAACACTAAAAAAGTGAACTTTGGCTGACCTTAACCTTTAACTTAAGTGTGCTGATGTATGTAAGAAATGCCCATTATCTGTGTTTCATCTGTCACAAATGCCTGGTAATGGAACTTCAATTTAAAAATGTTGTCAGACTGATTTACATGTTAAAGTAATATTTCTTCAATGACAAAGTCTTGGAAAAAATTATATTTTATTGAGGAACGTCTCGTCTGTCCTTAAGAAAAACCATGGTGTTAATGCTGCTTCATGGAGCATTTAAAGAAACTTAAATAACCATGAGTTTCTAATGATGCAAATCCACTTATTTATTGCCCATTTTCAGGGAGGGAAAACAGAAGATTGCCATAAATGTTGTTTGTTATTTGACATAACATGAAAAATAACCATTCTTTGTTTCTTTTTTTAGGGTATAGCTTTGAGTATGGGACACAAGATTAATCTGTCCCAGAAGAGTATCACTAAAAGTCAGTAGAGGAGTGTCTGCTGAAGAAGACATTACAGACTTAAAGTCATATGTGTGCTATTCATATTGTTGTGGAATATGACCAGTTGTAGTATTTTATGTGTACGATCTATGAAGAAACGATTAACAATTCAAAAATGTTTCAGTTATGATTTATATAATATTTATCTCCTTATTGCTGGAATGTTAAACTTCGATGTGGCAAGTTTTTATATACTCGTGGGATTGATTATTGTAACACTAAGTTTGTATAAAGCATATTTTTTTCTTACATGAGAAAGTTTTAAAGCACTTTGGAGCAAATGCTTCGATGAAACCATCTTATTCAAAATGCTTTTCTCAATAAAACGTAAGTTTTATCAGTAATATGTTGTTTTTAGTCTGCAAAGTAAGCCTACTCCGGATATATTGAAATTCAGGGGACCATGCAAATTATTTCAATATATTGTAAATTTGTCTCATAATCGATTGTGAAGGGCCATTTTTTATACAATCTGATTGTAAAATAAAGATTGAATCGAACAAACCCGAACCAAATTAATTTTGTATCGTTTATCTATAAAAACAGATTACATACAATATGGGTCAGGATATGTCCTTGAAAGTTTAAATAATTTTTTTATTTCTGTTTCATTGAAAAGACAATCTCAAGGTCACTTCATTTTTATTCCAAAATTTACATTTAAAACGTTTTTTGACAAAATTTAGGACATCAACTGGTTGAAGTATGCTAAACGCTTCTTGTAGTTCATGTAACACAAAACAACTAGGTCAATGGTCCTTCTTATTTCGAATTTTAGTTATATCAATTGCTATTTTCAGACATACGTAGTTACATTTAAAGTTATGTTTTTTCCTAGATCTGTGGGGGTTGACTATAAAACGTTTAGCTTTTCACTCGAAGTATGTCCGTATTATATACATGGACGCATATGAGAATTTAACAAAAAAATTTAATCCCATTATTTCAGATATGAGATGTATAAAACACATAAGGTGAAAACTTCATTATTCACACCTTTTATATTAACTGGTCAATCAGGCATACCTTACTTTTGCACCAACCGTTTGTTTTCAAATTGCCAGGGAGGCATACTTTGATATAACCGTTATCAAAACAACTCATTATCACCTGTTGGGACCGATCTTGGGCTTCAATATAAGCGAAATTTCAATATATCCGATTTCAATTTATATATATTTATATCATTATTTTTGGATGCAAAGAATATGAGAGGCAAAAATACTGGGCTAGGTTTTCTATTTCAAAATTTTTTCTTAAGCGGAATTTCAAAATTTTGAGCATTTTAAGGCAATATTCAAGTGGAGTTTTTAGCTAGCTGTCAAATTTGTTTTAGTTGCAAAGAAATTGTTACAAAGTATGCTGCTATTATTTACAAAGTGTGTTTGAGAACTGCAAAGTATGTCAAAAATAGACTTCTATTTAGTATTTAGAGCTTTTATAAGTTCAAAATATATTAAAGAAAGATTTCACAAATAAGTACAAAAATGGCAATATAAAAAATGTATGACAGCTAATTTCATGACTAGGCAAAAGTAATATAACAGTTCTTTGTCAGTATTGAAAAGATTTTTCATGTAAAGAAGGGTTGACCTAGTTTTGTTTTTTGGCTATCCCCATTGAGCTCCTTAACCTAGAGGTCATCTTTTGAACAAACATTTGAAGATGCTTCCATATCAATATGACTTACAACATAGCTTTTCTGTTCTTCAGAGAATGATTTTTTCCAATATGTTCCAATTAAAACTTCAATGATTTGTTCAAACTTGAATCTACACTAACTGAGGATGCTTTCATAGCAGCAATATGTCAAAACATGGATTTGCTGTTCTTGCAATCTAATCAAATCAGATCTGACATAACCCAACTAGGGGCCATGTTCATGAACTTTAAATTACTTTTGTCTTAAAATTACTTTTGAAATGATAACAAAACTAAATGATTTACATTTACTTTAAAAGTACAGTACAGCATATATGTACCTTTAAATTTCATATACAAATAAATTTGTAAATAAGAAAAAACAATAAAATTTACTTTTAATTTATAAAGCTGTAAAGTATAAACAGATACAGAATCCAACAGATAGTTAGAATTTGTATTACTTTAGGGATAATATACATGCAGTAAGTGTTATCAGGAAAGAAAAAGAATAATTTTCTTTATTTTAACACAGCCAATATGTGTTTTATAGAAGTCAGAAATACTTAACACATGATGTATGTTTATGACAAAATAAGAATCACTGGAGATACTTGTAAACTGCCAGTGTGTCGGAGACTTGTCTCACATAGAGATTGTTCTCATCATCAACACACACACACTACGGGGATACTCTACCCCTTGTTGTTTTGTGAGTAATAGAGACAAGAACTGACCATCCTGATCAAGGAGATGAACTGTGTTATTTTCATAGTATCCATCACACACAAGGATGTGACCGAGGACATCAGTGCAAATTCCAAAGGGTAGAAAATCTGACTTCTGACCTGTGTAGGAGAACCTGTATTGTCCTGATTTATTTACCACCACTACTGCTTTTTTACCAACATCTGATGAACAGATATCTCCATTGATGTTTTCTGTGATATAGTGTGGTCCATTATACAGTTCCTGTCCTTTGTTATCCCTCTGTATGTTCTGTAGTTCTTTTCCTGTCTTGTTGTACCTGGTGACTTTACCCTCTTTATCCTTCACCATCCCCACCAGTAAGTCCCCGTTGATGTGGGAGGAGTGTATGCTGAGTGGTGACCAGTCTCCAGTTTTAATGAATTCAGTGATATTGTTATCCTGTGTTATCCAATTGATGCCTTTCTTGTTTTTGTCTGTAAAGATCAGATTTCCTTCCTCTGTCACTGTGTGGTAACCTTCATCTTTGCCACTGGTTTTTATCTTCTGTATCACATTCCCCTGTAGATCTGTTTGGACAAGATCATCAATTATGTCACTGATCCAGAGTCTGTCTGATTGATCTAGTGATACATGGAATACATGATCAACACCTGGTACATTGAACTCCCTGACCTTGGTGACAGAGGCAGACAGAGACAAAGTTTGATTCCCGTCAGATTTCTTTCTGTTTTCTTTCATCTGTTTATGTGTAGGTTTCACTGCTGGGTTGTAAACACTTTCCATGGTCTCACATGTAATTTCTCTCTTCTCTCCTTTAGTTTGTGGAAGGTCTATTTTACCAAGTAGTTTGGCGACATCACTTTTGCTGTATTGAGCAGAAATAAATCTTGGTATGACTGGTTTTGTTGTCTCTGGTATGGGTTGGATCTTTGGTTTCTTCTCAGACATTGATTTCATTGGTTCTGTAGGGACAGGCATCTTTGAAGCTCTTTAACAAGGTTATTAAGATAAGTGATGTAATCATCCATGGTCCTGTCTTGGGATTCAAGATCTTCTAACAGTGAATGCTCTATCTGGTCTAGCTGCTTCAGGTTATCAGATATGACTGTGTCCACCAGACTTTTCAGGGTCTCACCTTCAGTCTTCATTGATGTTCTGATGTTGTCCATAAGGTGTTTGATTTCTGATGAATCTTTTTTTATTTCTTTTTTCAAATTTTCTGATGTAGGGAGAAAGTACTCATGGATTTTGGTAATATCTTCTTGAAAAACTTTATATTTTTCTGCATAAACAGTTTCCAAATCAGTAAATACATGTCCCTCGATGGTCTGCCTGTGTGGCACATTTAGAACATACTGCAACTTGGCATTCTTCACAGAGCATGTCCACATCTTTAGTGGGGTGGATCTCACATTTCTCCACAGGAAGTTGTCTTTTGCGTTGCTGGTACAGGACCACTTCATGGTTTTTCTTTTTTGGACTTTTCAGATGATTACCTTTGCATTGTTTGCAAAGTCTTAAATGGCAATTGTTGCAATAAAACTCACAGTTTCTTTCACATTCTTCAATGTCACACTCTAAAAAGTGTTGGGCTCTAGGAGGAATGTCCATTTTGGATAATGCCATCTATAAAAGATACTTTATGTTAAACATTAAAAGAAAATAAGTTAAATGTGTTACTGTACACATTGTAATTTTTAAGAGTGCTGACTTGTACAATGTATTTTTATTCATCGTATGTTAAATATTTTTTCTCTTAGCAAATGCACATGAAAATAAATTATTTTCTCTTAAAAATAATAATAAAATGTTTAAGTTGATTTGTGATTGTGTATTTTTAATGATCTATAAATGACTTTGCTGACTGACTTTTGGAAGGTTAGGACGAGAAGCCAGGTGTGATAGATAGATCAATTTTAAATACTGACACTGAAGTATGCACGTGCAGTACAATGAGTACACAGAACATCGTATACATTGCTGATAATATAACAGGGTACTTTTGATAACATATTTTACAATGCACACATAATGCAGAAGTATACTACACAAAATAAATAGATAATTTTTGTATAACTTGAATTATATACCTGCTTGAATTAAAAATATCTACATAGAAAGTCCACCCCTTTACTCTTGAAAAGCAATTCAGTTAAAAAAAATGTAATCGATTTCATTAGGTAGGTGAGTGTATGTATTTGCCCAATTTGCAGTAAATCATGTCAATGTTGGGGAAAATATCAATTCTGAAACTCGTTTTCTAAACGTGAATAATTAAAAGCATCATGCAATTATGAATTTTTAGCTCACCTGAGCTGAAAGCTCAAGTGATATTTTCTGATCATCCGATGTTCGTCATCTGTCCATATAGCTGTTCGTCTGTATGCCCGTCCATCCTCTGTAATTTTTTTTCAGTTTTATTTTTCAAGAACCACTGGGCCAATTTTAACCAATTGAAACTTGGTACAAAGCATCCTTGGGTGAAGGGGATTTTAAATTATTAAAATGAATGGTAAAATCCCCTTACAAGGCAAGATAATCAGGTAAAGACAAAAATAGGGTAAAGTCATTCAAAAGTCTTCTCAAGAACCAGTGGACCAAGAAAGGTGAAACTTCTGTGGAAGCATTCTAGGGTAGGGTAAATTTGAAATTGGTAAAATCATGACCCCTGGGGTAGGGCGGGCCCACAATAGGGAATCCACATTTTACGTTTGAATATATCAGAAAAAAATTTAAAATATTCCTCTCAAGCATCTGTAAATGTAGTAGTGTAGATTCTGATAAAAATGAACCTCTGGGGTATTAATTTTACAATAAAATCTAATTTTATTACAAATATATACGATTTTTTTCCCTGAATGGCCTTTTAAATGACTTTGCTGATCGACTTTGAATGTGAATTCTTTAAAATTATGGAAGGGCAAGGCCACAATAGGGAGTCCAACTTTTACATAGTAACATATAGGAAAATTCTAAAAGACTTCCTCTCAAGAACCACTGGGTTCATACTTATATACCAGGGGCAGGCTTGTTCCAACAATAAGAATCAAGTTTTATATATATATATATATATATATATATATATATATATATATATATATATATATATATATATATATATATATATATATATATATATATATGAAAAATATTTAAAAATATATCATCCACTGGGCTATACATTGCTGCTAAAATTGCAAGATAGATTTCACAACATATTTACAATGAACTCGTAATAAATGCAGAATCTTTTACTCAAAACAGTAAGTAAATATATGATTTTGATACAACTTTAATTGTGTTTTTTATCCCCCCATTGCAAAGCGGGAGGGTATATAACAAGAGGGAAATCTGGTTTAAAAATTGTCTTCTGTTACGCTTTTGGGTGCCTATCTCTTATCCGCAACTCCTCTTTTATAACTGAATGAAATTTTATGAGACTTTTACAGAATCTTTGTCATATAGTGCCAGTGTGACCTCCTATTTTACTTTTTAATCGGACACATATTTTGGGTTTTCCAAAGCAAAACATTGACACTTCCATTTTTTTTAATAGAAGGCTCCTCATCTGTTATCCGCAACTCCTCCTATACCACTGAATAAAATTTAATAATATATTCACAGTTCCATTATTACATAATGCCATTTGTCATTATAATCATATAATGGGAGGCAGGGTTATCATTTAGTGGGCTCATTGCTCACAGTACCTCTCTTTTTTTTTTAAATTGAATATGTCTTCTTCAAAATGTCCATTCCTTTATTTTTGAAAAGCAAATAAGTTTTAAAAGATGCAACCGATTTCATTATAAGTAACGTGTATGTATGTACTTGCCATTTCCTTAAAGTAATGTTCATCCCCACAGTTAATAATATTATGCCAATTTAGGGAAATCTGAAATATATTTTCAGGAAACGTGAATAACTAAAATTTATCTAGAAATCAGGGCAACATTGATCACAATGAAAATTAAGTTAAGTCACTTCTGTTTCGCATCACAGAATTACCAAGCTACCCAGAAACCTCTCTTACTCCGTTGGAGATAATTTATTGTAAATATTATTTTTAATGATATTTTTGTTTCTTAGAAATGTCTCGACGTAAAATATGATATTTGGATACATTTAAACAAATTCATCGAATTCAACTTGCAGTGCAGCACAGTCACATTCAAACTGATTGTCTGCCCTGTGGTTCTTGATTTTTTGAGAGGAAGTTGAAGATGTGAAAAGGTTACAGACGGAGGGACGATGGACATTGGGAGATAAAAAAGCACATATAAGCTGAAAAATCAGGTGAGCTAAATAGCAACAGCCAAAAAAAAATTATTCTGCGAAAGGAGGATGCTTTCATGCTTATTCACAACTGATATAAACTTGATGTTTGCCCCCTTACATGTATTTAAAACGTCGACCATGAATGATGAACGTTTTAAAAATGATTTTTTTATTTTACCCTTCCAGAAATATATACGGGCCTAAATGTACTGCACCTATTAATTTTGAATGTTACGAAAGAAAAATAAGCGTTTGTGACTCATTTATGTCCTTTTCCACTACTTTAAAAAGCTTTGTGCATTGAATAGAAATAACATCTTGATGTACAGGGATATGACTGTCTCCAGCCTTTTATTTAGCCTCGGTAACAGCTGGGGCATCGATGTTCGATGGTGCATTACAGATACATATGTTGATCGTGTCTCGTTACAAGTTTTAGTCAATAACCCCATGCATATTTGGAAGAAGAAAGACGATATGATGAAGGTAAGTATTTTACAGTTTTTTCCCCTTTAAACTTCCTATTACTAGTATCTAAAAAACGATTTAAAAATATAAATCTTCTTTTCAGATAAAAAGAAACGACTTTTTAAAAATGAATTTTATGAAATTCACGAATTAGTGAGGGAAGAGGGGTTCAGCGTAATACAGCAATACTTTGTTGTTAGTCCGCACCGCCGCTCCTCTAGATGATCGTTTTAATCTTAGCAAAATTAGCATAATCCTACTCAGATGAAAGTTTTTGGTGTTTAAGTCGAAGGAAGAGGAGTATCACCATTACAATCTATATGTAAATAGATAAGGCTATAGGGCTACATATCGCTACGTTGGCTCTATAATCAATATTATTTTCACATCTTACATATATATAATTTCAACTATCGCACGCAATTAGTACTTAAGTAAAAGATAATAATATAAAAGGTAAATTCCTTGCAAAGCAATCCGATTTCACAATATTTTCTTTATCGTACAATGGTGTCTTTCATATCATAAGTATTTTGCACAAATAATTGATTTTCTATGCATACCTTGCAACAGCTGGCTCGAATCTACAGTCCCTTTATACAGATTCTTTTATTGCCCTTGATTTTGTCGGGAGACAAAATAAACATCCATCAAATCTGCCCATGACACATATGCTTTTATTGAATAAAATAAAAATTATCTGCATACTAAACTGTGTATGTGCCGTCCTTACCTCTCTGTCGCCTTTGTTTAATAAGCAGTAAATCTTGCGCACATTTTTACCGCTTGCCATGTTCTTGAAAGAAAACGAAATCAAAAGTGAACGCAGCATTTGATATTTTTTATTTATTTCATAGTGTACTTCGATGGACTAGGAATTGATACTATTCGAATGTCAACAACATTTCAAATATGGCACTTAGAAGTGTCATAACAGCTACATTGCTTCTCCTCACGGCCCATTCAGTGCTTGCAGACCACTGTGACGTCATAGACACTTTGGACAATCAGTGGGTGAACGTTAACAATCTGAAGAATGACCATGATGCAAGATATTTGTCAGAGGCCCAAGTCAGCAACAAAGAGGAATGTCAGCAAGCTTGTTGTCAGTCAGGTGATTTAGATAAAAAGATAAATTAGACAAAAAACGAAATAGAGAGATTATTTTAAAAAAGGTAAAAATAGAAATACTTGTAAATAATGTCTTTTTTATTACTTTCTCCAGGAATGAATTTTTTTGAGGAATTCTTATTTATTGCAGAAAATGAACTCTTTTCATTAATCGTTTATATTCTTACAGAAATTCAGAAATCTTAATTATACTGTTACTACATGTAATTCATAAAAGTATTGTCTAATTGAATTATAATTCAAAGTAAAATGGAATTATTTTCCCTCAGAAAAATGTTCTGTGGTGATTTATGACACTAAAGAAAACCAATCCAAGGAAAACTGCTTCCTTCTCGATTGTTCGCAAGATCTCGAGTGTATTTTTGAAAATAAAGACGGCATGGTGACGTATGTAGTCGATAAAAAACATGATACTCCAGTGAAAGAGGGAACACCGTCTACCAGCACACCAGGAAAACTAACAAGTTCTGGATCCATTCTCACGACACGGACTACACCAAAGAATTCAACAACCGTTAAAAGCACCACACAGTTAGCTCTGGGATCAGTGACACCGACAAATGCGCCATTATTAAGTGATGTTTCTCCGTTTATAACTAAAACTCCAACTAAACCCCCAACAACAACAACAACACGAACAGCTACAACGCCAGCTCCACCCCCTCCAAATACAACAAAATCAAAAGTATCGCCGGCATCAGTTTTAGAGACAACAACAAACGCGACAACAATTAGTGCAAAGCCCAAGACAACAACTGTCAAAGCTTCCGTGTCAGAGGCAAAATCTTTTGCTGATCAGAATGCAACATCTGTAATTTTGCAAGGTCCATCTACAACAGCATCTGTATCTGTAATGAATAATAACACTTTAAGCAGCTCAAATAATGTAACCGAGAATATGGAACTTGATAGAAACAATGTAACGAGTGAGGAATTGACAAACAAGGAAATAAGTCAACTTCTCAACATAACACTACCCGGACTTCAAGTCAATGATTCCTTAGTAAATTCAACAATTCCACAAATTAAACGTCCACCAATATCAACACAGTCATTTGTTCCTTTGAATTCATCGTCGTTGTCGTCGACTTCATCATCATCAACAACAACAACAACCACATCATCACCTTCCTCATCTTCCAAATCTGTACATGTATCTACTTCACAACAACACATATCATCTGTTATCACTACAAAAGCAGCGAATATAAACGTCACAAAAACAACAACAACGACGACGACGATGACGACAATATCACCGATGTTGACAAATAACCGAAAATTAGATCAAAAAAATTCTTCTTTAGAAACAAGTAATCCGAATGTAAACGATACAATGGAACTTAAAACGGTGGCACAGGGTGAGAATTTTTTAAAATTTTATTTTATCAAAAACTATTGTTTCAATGTGTTTTTTTAATATTTTAGTATACATTGTATATAAATACATTTAAAAACCAAATGCCATAGACAATTAAAAAAAGTTCTGGAACAGGATTCTATTGAGTTACCTCTTGATGTTTCAGATGAAGACAAAAATTCTACCAGTGGTGGTCTTGAGAACAAAACAAATCAAACAGGACCGTCCTCTGCAGTGTTAGGGGGATTGATAGCATTGTTGTGTTTTGGAATGTTTTTTATTATTGCTATAGTGGTGATTTTTGGCAAAAAATTGTTCGAATCCTGGCAGCGCCGACATTACTCTCGTATAGACTATTTAGTAAATGGAATGTATAACTAAACTATATTGTTGTTTATTAATTGTAATAAATTATTGTCATTGACGTTTTTTAAATCATTACAAATGCGATCCTAATCTAAAAGAAGCACAGTATATCCTTGTACTAGTATTTTATTCTATTATAGAAATTTCTTTAAATCTGCTAAATTTTGATTTTTTTTAAAGCAACAACACGCATGAACAAATCAAATACCTGTTTCCTGAATTTTTCCCAAACATGACTGATTAAAATTGTGAAAACAGTTCATGATCAGTTACTAATAATGTTTTTCAAGGACATGAAGTAGTCCATTCTATTGAAACAACTGAATATTAAGTAAGTAATGTTGGTTTCCAGAATTCACACAAATTTGCATATGAGTATTGATTTTCATGTGAGCTTGTGGGCGACCTTCCAGGCCTCCTATCTTTGTATTTCATCAGATTCAGCTTGATAGTTTAAATAATAAAGGAACCCCTGTCTATTTTGTGGAGTATGCCAGGGCATAAAAATAGTTTGCAAAACGGGCAAAACTCGTTATGCATAAATTATCCCACGTTTCCAACTATCGTTGATGTCCCTCGTCTGCTCTACTAACTAGACAGTGATTCCTTTTATTTGTATTTCATTATGAAATAAAATAGTTAATTTAGATTTTAAAAATTTATTCTAATAAATTTAAAATAATACAAGGCCCCCATGTCAGTTTCAATAGTCACAGCCCACTGTCGTCAAACGCAAGGACAGCCGCACGAGATTAACACTTATATTAGACCTCCCTACCGTCAGACATAAAGACAGACGTATGATTTACATGCACATTAGGCCTCCTTAGCTTCTGACGTATCGCTTGGCGAAATGTACATGCCGAAAATATGATCAAGAAAACAAATCCTCTAACTTTCAATTGAAAGAGTTATCACAGAGACAACAAATGGAAATGAAAATATTGAAGCATAATTTCTGTTTAAAAAGAGTTTTGAAGGTAAGGGTTAAGTCTTGAAAAAAAAAATATGTCCCGCATTTGGCCTTAGAATTGACTCTGGAATATCCCTAGGATGAAATAGAAAATTCATAAAGAGTCACCAGCCATCATATTTCAAAAGAAGTTTGATGAGGAAAATATAAAATTATTAGCATGACCCCACATCTCTAAATAAGTGAAAATTTCTCGAATGAGATGTAAAACAACAATCAATCAATCAATCAATCAATCAATCAATCAATCAATCAATCAATCAAGCAATCAATCAATTTTAAACATTATGTTAAATATTACTCTGTATGCGGTAGGCAAACCGTCTTGTGGAAAATATTTGATAATGGGGTGCAGATATACAAAGTTTTGAAATTCAATTTCACCTTGGGATCACTTTTGGGCCATTTTCTTAAATTTTTTTTCATTTCAAGCTAGTAGGCAAATGTATATTGAAAATCCAAAACTGCTTTCTTTTATAAAGAACCTCTTTTTTAAAACCTTTTAATTTAAATAGAAAGTTTACAGCATTAGTCAGACTGCAAACTAATCATATAGAATACTAATGTATTTATTCATTTGCCACATCATCTCTTAAGCATCATTTGATGAATTTGATACCTGTATATTCATGTAGTTGTGTGTATTTTAGACAACAATTGTGAATTCTTCAATAATTCTCTCATCCGGGTAAAACACTAATGTTAAGGTATTATTTCAATATTTAGTAATTTCGCTATTCAGTATAATACGGAGATTCTAAGCAAAAATTACATTTTAGCTTTAACAGATAATTCTAATTAACAAGTTGAATTAATGAGTCGTATTTCTACTCCGAACTTTTGACCCATCTGATTTCAATAGGTTAATAGATTAACCGTATATATGGCTGAAATTACAGATAAAATGTTTATTTTATTTCAGTTTTATAAGTCATTAATTACTTTATATGCGTAAAATGAAAAGTTCAAAGTTTATTAAAAGGTTATGATAGAGTTATAGGTTTATCTACTTGAAACGGTGTTTAAAATAAAGTATGAATTTAAGCAAAAAATGACATCAATCAGTAAAATCTAAAGTAATAAATTGTTCTTATGTATATTTTGCAAAAAAATGTTTGTGCTACCTGACCCTGGGTACTTCAAATTATAAGACCTTTTTTCAGTGCACACACTTTAATCAATCATATTTTGTTGAAGTAAATTTTTCCAGATAAATGTGCATGAACTTTTTTAAATCAGCAATAATTCGAAAGCCAGAATTGTTCGATTGAATTTATGATTAACTCATTTTGTTCTGGAAATTTAATGATACACTTTAAAAAGATCATTCAATACACATAACATATTCATGTATACATATTTTTCCTGTACTGTAATTTATATAAAAAGGATGTCGAAATCAATTTTAAAAATTGGATAATAGATCTATACATTTATTTTAATATGTAGAAAGACGTGTTGTGTAATTTTTTTTACAAGCTCACAGTCACTCTAGAAATACCTTCTAATGGCTTTGCCATATGGCACAATGACATGACATTTTAGTAATTTTAAAAACAAATTGTCAAACAGATGGTTATAAGATGAGTCTGACCTTATCAGTGTTATCTCAATTATGTGTATATTCCTGTATATAACATTCAGTTCACTAGCTCGGAGCAAATGAAACTTTCATTTTCTATCAACGCGCTGTCTCTGAAGATTTTTAGGATCTAAGTAAGACCAACATGTCTCTTGCCATCATGGTAGCTATTTATGTTGCAGTGATACAATTTGGAAGCAGTCATGGTGTAAGTTAATTGTTTTTTTTTCTTTTAAAACTTTTACAAATCTAACCGAGCTTTTCCACAAGAGCTGTAATTCAAACTGATAGTAAGATTTCTGGTAAAAAAGCTTTTTATTTAAATAACTCCACGACAAGGATTTCGTAACAACAAACTAAATTTTAGAAATAAATTTCTTTTCAAGAACCTTAAACCTGCCGATCTCCTCACCCTGAACCTTTCAACTTGCTTTCGAATGACATGAGCAGTTTGTACAACTTTTATAAAACATGTTGCACATTTGTAATCCATTATAACTATTTTATCAACTTTTGTTTTGGCTGTCATAATCATCTAGCACGATATATTGTAAACTTTACTTTTCTGTCGTATAAGCAAATCGCAAATCAAAGACAGTGAAGTACATGTAAAAAGTTTTTGTTTTTGTTTTTGATGTATTTCTTTTCAGACTGTCCAGACGCTAAGAGCCCTAGGAAAGATGAAGATACAAGCTCTAAATATGAACGTTTCAATTGACCAGGCTCAGCAGTTTTCCACATTCTCCGGACGATTTCGTGGCCCCTCTGATTCTATGTATGGTCCCGTTTATGACATGTGTGAAGACGATTTACAGTTGTTGAAGTTTGCAAAAGGTATTGTATAATCTTTGCACCCGTTGTTAGGTATATTTTTTGTTGTTTTAGATTTAATACTTTGTATTTGTCTTGAAATTTACATTAGTATGTCGATAAAGTAGAAGCGGTTTCAATAACCCTATTTATTTTTTAAGAAAAGATGTGAAAGCACAAACTGTGGGAAATTGTAATTCATGCTTTCCTTGTTGTTCTAAATCCTAGTAGTACATATTTCGTAAGACCTTTCATGTTAAGTGTGACTTCACTAGCTTGTACATTTCTCCGTATTTTATTTAATGCATATCCATATAAAATGCATAAATTTTACAAGGCATATTCGAAAAATGTGGGCAATTGCATTTTCCCCTCATCTTTAAAAATTTCGATGCGTGCTACACACAATGTAGTAATTTGGATCTTTTCTGCAGAAAAAAATACATTTTTGATCTTAATTTAATTAAATAGATGAATAACAATAGATACTTTTGCAGTTTAATGTCAGTTGATGCAAATTTTCTCAGTGTAATCATAGACCTAAATAAGAAAAGCCTATCAAAGGGAGGCATTTCCCTCCCGAATTTTAAAACTGTATGATTCTTTTTCAGTGTATGATTCAGGAACCTTTTCGGAGTTTGAAGTAATCCTGCGATTACAAGTTTATGGCGGAACTTGTTGGTTCTCCATTAATTCTGCATCGGCGTCAGAAACATACACACAATTCTTATTCCCTAGTCATACATTAGTACTAGAGGAGAAATTTGGTCTACAGAATAGAACTCAGACCGAATTTATGGAATCCAGCTGCAAGATTGAGGTAGATAAATCAAAACCAGATCAAGACACCATCCGGTATACAGCTGCTGTTCATGAATGCGGACAAGAGACTGGCGTTCTTAATACGGGATATTTTGACATATCGATGAATAACAATGGAAAGACTAAGGAAGTTTCTGGATTGTATGTTGAAGCTGGCAGAAAGTATTTTAACTACGTCTCTACTTCCGCCGATTATACATTTGCATCTGAGGAGAATTCTTATGCAATTTTTAACGAGGGCAACATGGCCGCCGATGGGGTTAAAGTTGCTGGCTTTAATTTCACGATGATGATTCACGAATTCACGAAGGCAGATTATTATCCAGTCTCTGTGACTCGTATGTGGAAATTCACTATCATTTAACAATAACTGTGTGTAGAAAAATGCGCAAAAGCTAATGTACAAACGTCAATTCTTCACAAATACAAAATAAAGATTCTTTTTTGAAAATGTATATCAAAATCGTATTTTGTTTTGATAAAATTTTTGGTAATTTCCCTCCAGGACCAAATTGATTACAAAAACCTTATTTATCAGTGGTGATCACAATGCCTATACATGCAATTAAAGCAACGTGTTTTAATCAATGTGTAATAAAATTCATATATGTAATTTGATTAAAATAAAATAATAGCTGTTGTTAGTGTTTAGGGAACTGAGAATTGTTTAAATGATTTTGAGGCCAAAAATGTGACTCAAAAGCCATTGCGAACACAACATAAAATATTCAAAATTATTCAGAAGGTTAAGTCCAAAGTTGAAGAGATTTGCAAAAATACCAACTGAAAATACTTCATATTTCTGAAGAATAGAAGGCAGGTGAGATGTTGGAATGCCGATATCAAAAGTGCATTTCACTTAAACTATGTTCGTTTTGAGTTTTGGAATATTTGATATCAGAAATTCAGAATAAAATATATACAAGTTAATTCGAAGGTAGGTCGATCAAGACGTTAGTAACTTATGGAATTTATTTATTAAAAAAAACCTCCAAGTGCTTAGCTATATAACTTTTCATTTATTTTCAAAACATGTCTTGATTATCGAACACCTTTTTTAACTTAAATGTTAAATTCGAATTGGCAGGAATTGTCCACAGAGGCACAATAGGTTGACCTAAATCGTGCTATGGAAACATTTCAACACAAAATACCACGAATTATGTAACATGATTTTGCGTTTTATTAGCCGGGATCATAGCTCGTAGAGCAATGCCCGGCTATTGCGATGGTGAGCAACAGAAAATGCTGCTTCTTCACCGCCAAGTGGAGTTTACAAGTAAAAATATAGTACGTACGCCCAGCCGCTGTTAAGAAAACAAAATCCATTCAAACACCTTAAGAAATAGTAAATCGAATATTTAAATATATCAAAATATTGATTGCTGAAATTTTATTGGGACAATAGTTTTTGACAATTGTTTGACATTTGGCCAAAATATTAAATTGTTTAATATTTTCCTGGCTCCTTTGACTTATATTTTACTAAGGGGTTCAAAAGGTGCGAAAGATTTTCATCAGGTATCCCTGTCTGCGTCATATTCTATAAATAAATGTTGTACTATCAGGCTAACACAAATGCAGGAAACATCATTAATGACTTGATGCAAAACTCCCCGCTGAGGACACATCAGTGCATAGTCGTTTGACCTTAATTTATCTTGCTGCATCGGTGTTTGTATATAAAACCCCGAAACGATACATGTGATAAACATGATAAATATTTTTCGTGCTTAATTTCTAGCTATTTTTTATTTAATTTTAAAAACTTTTTAACACTATACATGCCACTGAGATATTTTGTTTGTAACATATCCTCTTACCGTCTGATCTTGATTTTAAACTGTCACTACGGTCTTTGTTCATTACCCTGTAAATGAGCCCGGCTTTCAGTACTTCTGTGTACTTTGATTTATATTGTATAAGATATACGAGGGTTGTCCGTAAAATTCGTGAACAAGATAGATAATTTCTGACAAACATTGATAAAATATAAGAAACAATTAATTTCATTAAATTCATGTTTCATTTTATTAATGAAAGTTTTCAACAAAAACAAAGCACAAATAGTTACATGTATATTTTTATCAGATACAAAAAAGACACACACTCATATCCGGAGCACTCAAACGAAAATTCTTGACGTTACCCGACGTCAAAAGCTTAAACGAGTACATGTAACTTTTCTCAACAAAGTCACCGCTTAACTCAATACATTTCTTATGTCGCTTTAACCAGTCATAAAAATTTGCACAAAAATGTTCAGGTTTCATAGGAAAATAATATTTAACAATGCATTTCTCATATCCTGCAAATCATCCAACCTCTGTCAGAGTAACAACGGTTTTATTTACTGAAATACAGCATAGTCACGTTACGAAATTCATATTTTACAGCACTGCAGTCTCGGATGATGGTTTTCCTTCACGCATGTCATCCTGTTAACTGTTCCTTCCGTCCAAAAATATCACATGCCACTTAAATGCTAATGAACGGCTTCTTTAAGTATGTTTTCCCGATTGTTTACAGAATTTATGGGTTTCTGTAGGTGTTTTTCCGATGTCTACACAGACTTTTATCACTGCCCACTGCTCCATCTTTTCCGAAAACGTCCCTTTTTGAACAATTCTGATCCTGTCTTAAAATGTTCTAACGTTGATTGCTCACCCATTTTAAAACTTTGAAGGTTCAAATTTTGCTGGTTTGACGTTATAACTTCTGTCAACCTCATGATGTAAAAGTCATCCAGATTTCCGCGGAATGTTATAAAATACAAATGGAATTTATAAAGTGATAAATAATCTTTAAATTACAATTTTGTGGTGCTCCGGGTCTCCATTCCAAGTCTAATTATGAAGCCATAATTGTAATTAAACATCTGAAATTGAATAAGATTTTACATTTCTCAAATCACCTTTAGTAAAGGATTAGAAATATGCTTATACGAATTATCAATGGCACTTTATTTAATTTGTAGCTTGTCCACGAACTATACGGACGACCCTCGTAATTTTCAAATTCAACATCACATATATGAACATCAACCATCACATTAACATCAACCGCAACAAGTCAACAATTTGAACATTTCAATGGCTTATAATTGAAGGTGGCGATTTCTACAATATATTTTCATGGCTTCAGCGGCTCTTTAAATATAAATTCTGACATTAGATTGTTTTTTGACGTCCTACAAATTATTTCCTAAGTTGGTTAAGATAAGACATTGACAACAGTACTAGTTCTAGAGTTAGCAGGACTCAAAAGTCGAAAAATAAAGGTATGGAAGCTTTGCTTTTTCAGCTTCAATCTTTTGTCCTGTCTAAAACCTTACTGAGCCTCATTTCTGTACAAATATATAATATTTAAATTCTTGTTTGTGAAAAGTATAGACAAAATTGCTTAGCAAAGTAATTTTTTCATATTTTTGAACTTGATATCTTAAATGTTCAAATGTATTCAACTAGCAATTATGAAACGAATAGTTACATTTAAAAAATTAAGAGATAGTGGATCACATGATCTAAGTAGAAGTACTTCAAATTCACTTCCTTTTAGAAATAGATCCATATAAAGTGACAAAGATGCTTTTCTGTTGCTTTCTCCATCAACTAGGATGATTTTGTTAATATTATATTTTGTTTCGTGAATTTACAAGGCATTTACAATTCACATGGAGTATTCAATGTTTTTTGGTGATTCATCTTATTTAGTTTTCATTGGAAATTGATTTTCAAACAAGAAAACCATCCCTGAAATACTGTTGTCGAGCACATATTACAAGAAAAAAAATCCATCAGAAATTTAACTATTTTTATACGTTTCAAAGGAGATGAATCCTTACCTTAATCTATCCGAGGAAAGCAGGCTTGAGTTGTGGGATAATATAAGATTTGTTTCCTTTCTCCCATGCACTGTATACCTATTCGTATCTTTAACTGTTGGAGTTCCTGGGAACATTATTGTGTTATATATCTACGGGTTTCGTCTACAAGGGAAACACAGTGGTCGTTATTTCATTCCATATTTAGCTTTGGCGGATCTACTGGCTCTAATATTATCAGTGGCGTTGCATGCCATGACTAACTTCTTCCCAGTCACATTCAAATATAATGACCTGTGTAGTTGGAGTTTCACACTGGCATTTTTAACAACCATTCTCTCCGCATTCATTCTTTTGTTAATCTCTGTACAACGCTACTTAAAAGTCTGCAAACCATTTGATGGACAGATGACATTGTTTTGGAGGAGGACTTCTTTGCTGCTTTCATTAGTTTTATCTATTGGACTTGCTATTCCGTCGTACTTCACTTTTGGATCAGAGATGGTATACAACGAAGAAATGAATGTGACAGGGACTGCTTGTCGTAGACTCACCTCTTCCACCCAAACAGTGTCTTTAATCCACAGTGTCATTTGTGCTTTGTTTATGGTAGCTGAAGCAATTGCTCTCACTTTCTTTTATGCAGAAATAGCAAAAGTCATATTTCGACGGAAGAGGGAACCTTTGTCAACTTTTTATCAGACCAACTCAAAAGAAAATGATAAGAAAAAGAGCAACAATGTTTCTTTGATGTTTATGATCATTACCATAATCTTTATAATATCTTTCATAACAAGACTTGTTACGTTCATTTTGGAGAGTGCAATAGTTGGAATTTGGGAGAGACTTTCTGTCGCGGAATACGGTATTGTTCGGATGGTTGAGTTGTTTTACATAGTAAACCATTTGGCTAACCCTTTTATATACGCTTTCATGGATGATAAATTCAGATCAGAACTGAAAGCTGGACTGTTTTGCAAAACCAAATTAGAAACAGAACAGTCAGAAAATACATAGTTGTTATAACATTGTGAAACTTACATAATGTAACTCTTGATATCATAAATATAAAAATACGAAAGACGACTTTCAAACTCTTATTTTATTGAAAACCGTCGGCACCTGGCAGACTTAACAGAGAGTCAGGTTACATGTATCAGATGTAGATGGATATGTGCCTCTTTTGTTCCAAATAGGATATTGAACAAATATATCATGTACAATCGATGAGAGTAAAGAATGTATAATTCACATACTGAGTATACTAAATTGTTTTTCTTTGTTGTTACTTTAAATAATGTAAACCCTAGTGTTATCCCGGCATTGTTATACTATGATACAAATGTTGCTTCAGTCTGTGCATACTAATCTTGCAAATAACGGAAAATTATAACACTACCAACATCGTCTATAACATGTATATATGTTATTATTTTCTTGCTGTTCTTTATGTATTGTAAGATTTAATTTGAATGATCATGAAATCTCCGAATGGGGGAAATAAAGATTGAATGAATGAATCAATTTAATTATATCAATTATAATTATATTAATTATAATATCATCTCTATCAATGAGTTTACACTTTTTTCCAAAAAATAAAAAAAATAATTGTTTTAGATGGGCATTTAATTACAATAGGGAAGACAATACAAAATACGTAAAGAAGTTATAATTCCCTTATATCATTTAAATGCATATATCTTGATACATGTGTACATGATGCACAAAGTCCAATATCACTAAGACAAAACATGGGAAAACCCTTTAATGCGTGATCAACACCTTCCGTCTCTCAAGAAAAATTTTATCTTGCCATATTTAGCAGGCGGAAGTGAAGGTAAGTTTCAACATCCGTTGATGAGTTACTCTTCAGTGTTTTAATGATGGTCATCGATTTCACAATGCAATGACTCAAAGTAGAATTTATAAAGTGTTGAACTATTATTTTTAAAAGATGTCTCATTATTTGAAGGGTGTGTGCAAACAAAATGAGCAATAGCATTAGCGAGTAATGAAAATTTGTTTCGCAAATCGTTGTAGTTATATACGGAAAGTATTTTAATTCAATGTTTATATTTACATTTAAGACTCACTGCCCCGTCTGCAAATGAAAGATATATATTTAACCCCTTTTTTCCTTTGAGTATGTTAAAATTATTGGAAGAAATATATATCACAACAATTACTACCCTTGAACACTTGATGCGAACATAAATGTTGATTTTCACTCGTGACGAAGATTCAACTTCTTATGAGGAAATTCTCCGTGTGGAATGTAAATACATTTCTCTTTAAAAATAACTTTCCTCACACATGTCGAAGTTCACTGTGATCGCTATTTAATATCTGCAGCATTTTATTCATAGTAAAAGTGTCGCGGAGTAAAGAGTCGATCCTTACGTCGCGTGTTCGAATCCCACTGTTGTACGTGGAGACAGGTCCATTGGATAAGATCGTATAAATCGAAGTCCGGTGTGACAGTTGGTACTAGCACGAAAATGTTAAGTCCTGCTCAATGGCCGCAAGTGCTAAGTAACGGTCAAAATTTGCAGCTCTCTACCGGCAATGGTGGTGTTTCCATATGAATGAAAAGAAATTCTCAAGAGAAACGGTAAACAACATACAAACAAACGAATTCTATCTCAACATAATTTAAACAATAGAAAGCTTTGAAGAATGCATAAAACACGAAATTCCCAAAGGTGAGACCAGGTGACTACAAGAGTAAAATAGGTACTTTTACTTCAGATGTCTTCCAGGAAGATTAAACATTTATATAATCTGTCTTACAAAGATAATGATACAGTTGATATTTATATTTTATTTGTTAATCATACAAAATGAAGGCCATTTTGAGAAAATGCATTATTAATAAAAACAAATTTTATGGGGTACATCATCAATTACATAACAGTATAAATTAAGTTTCCAAAGTATAAAAAGTATGTAAATTCAGCTCAAAACCTTATTCTTTCTTACAAAAATTATGTAATTTATAATCATATTTATAATATACTTCGAATATTTTGATATTCGATAATTATACTTTCTGCTTACTACAATGATACCACGGTAACTGAATGAAGTATATGGCGGCATGATGTACTCAAACGTGTTTGACACACAAAAAAAAATAATAAAACACACGCACAAAATTACTTCTAAAAAGTTTACATACAAAGGCAAGAATATGCATAGCACTTCGTTAAAGTATATTAACACATCATATAATAAGATAAGTTTCCCTCTACAAACTCAATGCTTATTTAAACGAAATGTTCTTGAATCGGTGATTATTGATTATTTGTAACTGACCATTGGGCAAAATGTGAAAAATGATATTGTTTTATCAAATACATTTTTTTTCTTTTTCAGCAGAAGGTAAGGTGAATTCTTCTGAAACAATGTCTCTAAAACAAAGCACATTTTACAGTACACAGTTGGTTTTAAGAGGAGGATTAAAGAACAATACCATTTCTATATTTGTTTGCTTTGTAATGTTTTTTTTAAAATTTATATTAAAAATATTGCAAAAAGATTTTGATTTGTAACCCTTCAAAAATGAAGTCATCAGCATTGATTATGTATACTCTCAACATTCACATATCACAGTTTGGTATCAAAAGCAAAGCGAGGAGTATTATCCTCTTCTGCTTCATTATCGTCAGGAAGAGTTTCGTTTGGAGACAGAATTTCCTCATCGGGGCGTTCAATTTCAATACCGTCCCCAAAGTCATCATCTTTCCCTTGATCAAGGTTTTCTCTAGAGTCATCATCTTCTTCATCATCATCTTCCTCCTCTCCATCATCAATGTCTTCACCCGACTCTTCATCTTTCTTAGCATCAGTAGTATCCTTTTCTTTCAGAGGTTCAAATTTATTTTCATCTGTGTCCAACACTTGCGTCGAGAAACGTACGGCCTTTACTTCATAATCCGGATTCGGTTCATCTTTGTCCTCATTTTGTTCATTTTTATTGTCATCGTCTTGAATTGTATCAGTATCCTTCCTATCATTTGGATAATCTTCTGGAACATCAAATGATTTTGATGAATTTGTGACATTTTCGTAGCCTGGTGCACTATTGTCGTCAAATTTCAAAGGAGCATTAATATAATCATTTGGTGCATCGTAATCTGGTTTAATTTCCACCTCAACATCACTCTCCGACGGATTATAACTGTCCACAGGCATGATGTTGGTATCTTCTGCATCAAGGTGATTTGCTAAATCATTCAACGTCTGCTGAGCCTCTTCTTCTGCAGGATCCAGTTTTACTGTGGTTTCTTCGGCATCGTTATAAGCTGGATTTGTAAATGCTGATACAACTCCCTCTTTAAGTTCGCCTGTTTTTGCATTATGTAAACTTGTCAAGTCATGGGATCCATTTATTGATCCGTTGTAATCCGAGGTTTGTTCGTCGTCCATTTGAATCTTCATCTCTTGTGATTCATACAAGGAACTTTTTCTCGTAAGGTGGTCGTTAAGTTGTTTATATCTATCAAACCTATAAAGTGAGAAATGTAACAATTTATAATATGTTTTTGTAATAGTGTTGGTTATTTTAAAAGAAGAAATTTAGTCACTATTTAACGAAGTTTTAATCTTCTACTATGTTTTTAAAACGCTGATGCCATTTAGGACACATCTGACTAAAAAAGGTTAAATTTCAGGGTCATAAAAAATGGCACAAAAACGGATTTATCACTAGAAATAATGCAGTGCAAAATAAAAGCCACAGATTCAATTTTTTAAAATTTATGAAATTACCAAGATCATATAATTTTACTTAAGTAGGTCAAACATCAAATTCAAGTGAGAAATTGTGATACACTAACAAAGGTACTTTCCAAAGTTAGGGTTTTACGAAAAATAAGACAAAAGCAGGTCAGATTTAAGTTCATGGTCATCAATAACTCGATATTTAAGGGAAGGACTTGTCAGAGGGAAATGATGTAAATTTGAAAATTTTAGCACCAACCAGAATAAAAAAACAACTACCTGTATAGACAAACAGAAAAATAATTATGACCAAAAATCTTTCATAAAGGGCCAAAAAATACATGAATATACCTTCTCGTTGTTTGGTAGATGACCCCTATGAGTATTATCGTACCAATAAACATAACTCCACATATAGCAATAAGGGCGATTACTGCTGGCGGAAATTTATCTTCTGAGCTCACTTGCTTAGCAGCTGTTTCTCCATGCGAAAACAGTGACAAAATTTCACCCATATGTTGTAGAACTAATCTGCCGAAATATTCATGTAACATTTAACAATTCAGACATATTTTTTTAATAGCGACCTTTTGTTTTCATAGCATATCTCTAAGATGAAAGTATATGGCATTAGAATATGGCTTTTTTTTTTAATTACAGATATATTCTGTCATTGTGCTTATTTTAAACGAAAAAAATCGAAATAAAATCACAAAAACTTTGATTTCTGCTCTTTTGAAATATCTTCCAAATTATTTACGTCAAAAATTTTAAAGGTTAAAGGAGAATTTCAATTTCCAGTTAAAGAAAGCTATTTAGTGTGTTCTTTTTGGGAAAATGAAATCAATAGACTAAATACCCTTGCAGCACATTTCCACTAACATCCGTGTCATTTTGAAATTTTGCTGTTATGCTCAAATAACACCTGGAAAGTAAGAAAAAAATTAATCAACTCTCGACAGATTATATTTCATTTAGTTACATGGAGAAGAAAATTTGGAAACTTACGATTGTTTGCTTCCGTTCACTTTTTCTATTTTGTCCAACGATACGTCCACATCTAATATTTTACTAATATCTCTGACAAAAAGAGTCATATGAATAAGATCAGAATATATAAATACATCATTAAAAGACAACCAGAAAGAGAAAACCATTTATAAGAAAAAAAAAACAATTAAAGTCATACTCTTGAATGTCTATCTTGCGTTTCTGCACCTCTGCCTCACTCTCAGGAACAGTAAATTTAACGGAAAGCCCTGTTACATGTGTTCTTGACAACTGAAAATAATGAAAAACAATTATTCAAAAATGTTACACAAATGTTACCAAAATACATTCATTTAAGGAGAAATATTGTTCATTCCATTTTACTTTAAGATTAAAAGCATACATGTATGTAGGCCAATTTCATTTTATAGCTTTTGCACAAGAAGTACATCGTACTTATATTCTTAGTGCAAGTATATCCATTTATTAGAGCCAGACTTGTACACATTAGAAACTAAAAGGAACACTCGGGAGTAATTTTAATTGTGTCTGGCTGATATCAGCAGAAATGTGATGCCACGGAAATTTTATATATTAAAGATTAAGTAAAAAAGAAAAAAACCTAGACGTACTAGTATCTGTGCATAAGACTGAAGTGGTGGTTCTCCGTGGTCTGCAGCTAGAGCCGCTAACTCAATGATGCTCATTGCCAGAGGAGGTATCTTCTTAACAGTAATCACTCCAGTGGAATTATTAATCGAGAACATGCTCGATGATCTGTTAAAATTAAACAATATCTATTAATAATAATTTTTAAAAGATCTTGACATGAAAAAATACCCAACGGTATAAAAACAGAATTAAAGTAATATTTATTGATTGGCCTTACAAAGATTGCTCCAGTTTGTATGTTATTGCTGAGTTAGGAGTGTTCTTTTCATCTCCATCTTTAGCCTGAAAGTTATAAATAAATAAGTTATATAAAATTCTTTTTTTGGCCTACAGTTTATATAAAAAAAGACCAAATGAATAACCAAAATAGGTAATCTAGAAGATGTGTCTTGGTTCAGGGGTAAACATGTATATAGTAGTCAGCTAATATGATAATCTTACCATTACTTGTCCAATGATGTCACCCACTGTAAGACCTATCGACAACGGAAAAGCATATTTAGGCGGTTGAAATTCAGGGGCCATGTCATTTATGTCCAATAATGTTAGAAACACGGTAGCTGTTGAAGTAGAAGGTTTCCCACTTTCTTTATCATATGCAGATACCTTTAAAGGTTAAAATATAATGATAAAGTTACAACTACTTATATGTTTCAAAGAAAATTTTTATCAAAATTTGCAACCATAGTACAGTGGTTAGAGCATTTCCTTTAAAATCACGGACTTAGGGTAGCTTCTTACATATTCATCGAATACCACTACGGAATTTTGAGACCGATCCTTGGACGAGACCGTATAAACCACCAATCTCCAATGTTACAATAGGTGCTAGTAGAAAATATCAAAGACCGTAAGTATTGAGTACAGGTTTAAAATTGCGGCTCTCCACTGGTGAATGGGGGCTTCTCAATATGAACGAACCATTCCCGAGGGGACGCTAGAAAGCTTATATACTTTTTTAAAAAATGAATTGACTAATTTTGAAAAAAAAACTTAGATTGACTTGCCTTTATCGTTATTGTTCCATCCCCACTTTCACGGTCCATCATAGAGGGGTTTTGTACTTTGATGATGCCTTCACCGTCAACCGAGAAAGTGTCGTGAAATGGTGGTAAAATCTTGTACACAACTATTGCATTCTTGCCCTACAGTTATATTTGTCAAATATTGAAATATATTATGCTTTTAGATGGGTAATTTCAGCTTGAAGGTGAATTTGGAATTGATTTAAAAGAACATATCACTATGTTTCTTAAGCGAGTGTTAGAGCGTAGAAAAACAGTCTGTGTTCTCAACACGAAGTTTCGCTGTAATAAAATATATCTAACTACTCTCCTTATGAGGAGCTGTTTCGAAATTGCAAATATACATAAAATTCTGATTCTGAGTAAATTCTATTTTTTTTTTATATGCAAGTAATTCTTGTTTTATTCAATAACAAAATTAAACAATAATATTACAATGTCTCATAATGTACATCTCATTCATGGATATCGATAACAACATCCCATGACTTTTTGTTCCACTTGAGCGTTAACAAATGCACATTTTATTTTAATTTGGCATACAAAATCGTCCATGGTATATATACGAACACACATTGTTTCATTATATTTATGATCCTTTACCTCATCTTTGTCAACGGCTTTGACCTGTGCTATAGACGTTCCTTTCCTGGAATGTTCTGCTACTGTAAAGTTGAACTGCAGTTGTTCAAACTCGGGAACATTGTCGTTAATATCATCGACAATTATTTTCAGAGTAGATGTACAGCTCCTTAATTCTGTATTTCTCTGTACTGCCTATTTTCAAATAAGAAAAACTAGTATATATCATATAATCTATCACTGAATCATATTTTGCTAACTGGTTTCATATCATTGGAAGGCCTTTGTTAACCAAATTTTACTACGGAACATACGGTTCGGGTGTTACCCGTCAATCATCTGAGCCCAACTGGTTCTTGTTTAGGGCCTGTTCACAGGTCTATACTGTTTGTTGATTTGTTCAGATAGATCATTGTTTGTTATCTTCACATCAATATATGTAATCAAAATCAAAATTGTAACTTTTTTTATTGGCTAAAATTGTAACTTAATAAGTAAACTGAATAAAAAAGGATCAATTGTTTACTTTTTCCCAAAGCACATGTGCTTCATACTTTTAAAATACAACTATACATGTGAAACATACATTGATTGTAATTAAAGTATTGGCTTACGTCTGTTTACCTTGATTATCATTGTGTATCTAGATTCGTCCTCCCTGTCAAGTGGACACGTTGTCGCTATTTCTCCAGTTATATTATTAATTATGAAACAACCGTAGACATTTGAATCGTCTATAATAAAGCAAAATTATTAGAGTTACTCTAAAGACACTTTCGAACTGTTACTTTGAATTGTCAATCTTTTGATGCAGAGTATATGACTGACATGATTCAAAGAAAAAAGAATTATCATACACAAAGTCATACAAAAATTTAAAATGTCTTACATTTATTTCGTTTAAACTATTGAATGAACTCTTTATTTCACTACCAATACTTTCTGGATAAGAGAATATAACTAAAGATGATTAGAATTTTATCTAAGAATCTTACTTCCGAATCTGTAATAGAGTAGTTGTTTTCCTTCTCCTGTATCCCTATCTGTTGCTCGAATTGGAGGAGTTGTGTTGAAGAATATATTTTGAATTGAAGTATTCTGTATTATTAGATGTACAAACTTCAATTAATGTAGAACAATCTGATCATTTTCTCGTAATTGAATAAGTTATTTGTCAATGACATCGGCTTTATCTTTTAAACTTAAACTTTAATAATTCGACTCTGTTCTGATCGCTGGTATCGCTTTTCTGATATTTTAAAAGACTTTTTCATAATATTGTCACTATTTGTTAACTATCCAGAAAATGACGACACAATGAATTCAAATTACAGTCTAACTTGCTTTGTGATTGAATTAATTATTTTATCCAAACTTTTTACAAACGACATTTATAATATTTTCCATGGACGTTTGTAACATATTTGATCTTTGAAGACGACAATTTTTACCAATAAAAATTCAGGAAAAACAATTAAAGTCAAAAATTATGACTTGGATGTGTAGAAAATAAGTGTTCTGCAATACATAATTATATGTTTATATTATTATCAAGGACCATTAAAAACCAATTTTCTCTTCTTTGTAAAGACAACTGTCATACGAGATATGTCATTAGCATAAAAAACTTTCTAGCAGTTTTCTGCAGCTTATTTGGAAACTTACCCCTTCTGGAATATGTAATGTATAAAGATCGTGGTCAAACACAGGATCCATATCATCTACATCTGTCACATTAACAACTAGGACTGTTGAATTGGAAATATCTTCCCTGTTGTCCTGTAACATTAAATAAAGTATACCTATTGATATAATTTTCAATTCTACATACAGTATTTAATTTATTCTTAGGTTTCATATGTGATCAATCAGTTGGCTTGTGTGATAATTTGCATAAACGCAGGAAACTATGACAGTTAACCCATATATTTACATAATCTTCATTCCGAAAATTCACTTGCTACACGCCCCTCTCTACTCTTTCTATATTTGTACCGCCCTGTATGTGATTATTTTGACCACGCCTATCTATAAACCAGTACATTTATTTTGATATCGAGAATTTTTTACCATTTGAAGCTTTATGTAGTTTTATCTAAGATAAAGAAATTTTTATTTGTAAATATAACACAATAAAATAAAATAAAGTATTTCTTACTGCCATAGAAATGTTCAGGTGAAATTGTTTATAATCTCCATCATAATCCAGCTTCTGTTTTACAACGACTTTGTATATAATTGCATTATCTTCCATTTTATGTTCCATGCCAAAGTGATTCTTTGCTCCCTGAAAAAAGGTAACAAATACCTTTTCTAATATTACACCAAAAATTAAATGAAAATCTCAATGATGTGTATTATAAAGAATTATACGGAAGCCTTTTTAGGACCTATCAAAAAATATATTTGAATTCGATATAACGAATTCTCGAAATTGTTAGATCGAATTTAATTCCCTATTACAATTTTTTTGAATTCGTTATAGCGAATTTAATTTGTTATAACAAATTTGTTGAATTCGTTATATCGAATTCAAAAATTTGTTAACACAAATTCTTAGATTTGTAATAACTAATTAAATTCTAAAATTTGTCATAACGATTTATAATCGTTTCATCAAATTCTACTATTGGAGTTTATGCAGAAGTATTTGTGAATTTGTAATAACCAATTCAACAAATTTGTTATAATAAATTAAAAATTGTAATAACGATTTTAATTGGTTGGAACAAATTTTAGAAATTAATTCGTTATTACATTTTTTGAAATCGTTATAACGAATTTACGATATCTGTAATAACAGATTTAATTCGTTACAACGAATTCCAGGAATTTGTTATAAACAATTAAATTTGTTTTAAAAATTTCGACAATTCTATATATCGAATCCAAAAATATTTTTTGAAAGATCCTAAATGGGCTTCCGTAGAACTAGACGTTCTTATTCCATTTATTCCTATAATACCGACAATCCATTCAAATAAAACAAATACATATGTAAGGAGCAGAGGAAACTCGAACTTCAAAAGCATCCCAAGCATGGTCATGGAGAAGTAAGCATCCACTGCGGACCGGTCACATCCACCGTGTGCTCCTTGTCATAATTGGGAAATAACGCAGAGATCTATCGACTATTCAGTGTGTAAATAATATCCTAACAATATGTATGAAAAACGACGGTCGGCATCAAAGCCGCTTAGTCCGATTCTAATCGCGAAAAAATATATTCGTTTTCTTCTTGAAAAATAATTGTCCATTGATTGTTTCAACTTTTGTCATATTATATCCCCAAACTCTTTTTCTTTTAAAAGATACCAGAATTAAAAGTTAAAAAAATAATTATTGTTGGGTCACACAAAATATAATCCTATGACGATATCGCTATTTGCAATGGCTTGAAATCACCTTTGAAAAATTATTTTATCGCTTATATCTAATGTTGAAGAACAAACCCGAGCATTTCTTTTTCACAACAAAGTATACTTAGACGTGTACACGGACAATATTTTAGCCTTCATTGCTATAAATGCGTTACCATACATGTACTTCCTTTAAAAAGAACCTTTAAAAATATCTGATTTTCCTTTATTCTTTTAAATGTGCATATTAGTATAAAAATTACTATGGATTATATTCAATTAGTTTCTTAATTTTTAAAAGATATATTATGACTTAGGCTTCAACTAATGAAAAAAAAAATACTCGGGTTTTTTCTTCATGATTAGATATAACCGATAAATATAATTTTTTCAAAGGTGACTTCACGACATTGCGAATAGCGAGATCTTAACTTCCCGTCAGGAACTTCTGTTTGTCAACAAGGTTTTTTATCTTTGTTTTCCTTGTAAGGACTGTTGAAATAAACTATTAAATCAATCGTATATATTTTTTTTATTTTTCATATATTTTCTATGTAATGACGTACTTTTATTGTGTAAGATAATATGTGCCTGTTTCGGAGTAAGCGGCTTTAAAGTTAATAATAAATTGTTTTTGCAGACAAGGTAATTTTACTGACCATAATTTTTAAAATATCATGACTTTAAATGAGGCTGTTGATATTCTTTAATCAATTTGTTTGTTAATAACTTACCTCCTGTTAGAAATTGTTTATATATAAGGATACATAAAGCAGACTTTTGCGTATTGAAGTTGATAGATATTAACCTCGTGTGCTACATGTAGTTGTAAGGGTACATTTAATAAGCAATGAAACATTTTTTGAAAGATATTGTCTCATAGATGCAATGATGCGTGCAAACAAATTGAGTACATGCGTTAGCTTAAATTTACATTTTTAAAACTATGTCTCTATTGCGAATGTGATGTATATTTCAAAATCCCTATTTTATCCTTCATTAATGGAAGAGCTAATGTAATAGTTGATAGTCAATATGATCGTGATTTGTGATTTTCCCTAATGACGTTGCACTTCATGGGCGTTCATCGTTTGTGACGTGAAAAAAAAACTCCACGTGCTTTAACCTTCTAACCCCCTTTCTTTGTTATGGTGTTTTAAATGCCATAGTTTTCAGTACACTTTTTTTGAAAATACATGTGTAATGTAAATATTGCTGCACAAAAAGGGTAGCTGAGGATAAAAAAGTTAAAGTCATCCCGTTTATCATAAGCTTTGTTGTTCGATAACCATTATCTTATAAAAAAATCTTTTTCTAGTAAACATCCAAGTACTACACATGTGTCAGACTATTTGATATCTTTAAATTCAGTGTCACTTGGATATATCGTGTCGACATATGAATGGCATTAACTATTGTTTATATATATAAAACGTCTTCGGTGTACCTAAATGTCGAGTTGAAGGCGGCAGCAAATATGTTCTTTTCTTCTTATGCTTAAGATTTTGAATAAATCCTGCTTCATATGAATAAGAAAAGTCTGTTTATGTTACGGGACACAATTGGCACTAATGGAAAGTTCAAAAGATTGTTGATATTCAAACGCCACATAGACATTGTCACAATCAGAAACAAAAACATTTTCTTTTTTTAAAATATCAATTTTAAAGTACTCTTATGTACAATCAGAATGTTTTGAATAAGAAAAAAAAAATGCAAATGATCAATGGCAAGCTTAACGAGTTCCGGTTTTTATTGAAAAAGCAGTTGCCAATCATATAAAATTGCCTGGTGTTTAATTTACCTTGCGATGTGGAAAGTTAAGATTAGAATTATATTTGTTGAAAATGCGAATGCTTTCAATCAGAAAGTTTTGCAAAATGTTTTCTCACCATGGAATAAAAGGTATTTTTTGTGTCCATGCAGTCCTCTCGGATAGCATCTTTATAGGAAAACTGATGTACAACAGTTCCAATATTAACTGCCTGAAAGAAATGTATATCTTTTAATTAACAAAAACTAAAATCAATTCATTAAAACAACAAAAATGAAAAAAAAGTTATGCTTCATAACGGCAATAAATGTAAATACAAATTTTTTGAAGTAATTGGAAAGTAATTGAACATTTTTTCAATTACTTGTAATTGTAATTTAATTAATTACACTGAAAAAATACCATGTAATTTCAATTACTTTTTTAATTACATTCAATTACTTTATATAATACACATGCATGATATATTGTCACCACACCTCCCCATTAAATGTTTTTTTTAATTGCAAAACATATCCTCAGTCCTTCAATTAAACAGAAGCCAATCATTTTATTTCTAATAATGCATAAAATTTGAAATTTTTTGTTTTATGTTTATCATTTTTCACCATCTCAAGCTATGAAACGCAAATAATTTATTATATTTTAGTATCTTTTTGATCATTGAAGAATAAGTATGTGTGTGTCAAGAAAAGGAATGTGTTCATTAATGAAGTTCCCTCTCTTGTTGGTATTAAGAGATAATTGCCCTCCAGATCATAGCTGTAAATTGCAATCAAAACAAATCAACCCCTCTAAAGAGGTATCCATTCCATGATTATGACAAAGCCAATGTATGGATATAATTATTTCAATTAAAAATGCCCCGCTAGTTTGAGAAAAGAAAAAACTTTTAATTTGATAATTAATTTAACATCTAAACAGAATTTTAAATGAATTTTGTAAAATGTTATGTTTTGTACAAGTATTATTTTGAAGTAAAAATACATGTTCAACATAAATAGCAATTTAGGATGTTAGGGTTACCTTTAAAAGAAATATTTAATTTGAGAGGTTATAGTTGCTACTTATTTTACTCCATTAAAATACACACTTTTAATTAAATATCATATCCCATGCAATTTGTGTACATGTAGGTTTTGTGTGGAGGAAACTGCATCAAATTGATCTTACATAGTTCTTTACTGTTTTGTAAATAAAAGTTATGATTTAAACCACAAAGATACACAATGCCTAATAGCATATTGTTTCTTGTATTGTTTGTGCAGAGCCTGCGCTTATATACAAGTGAATGATTGTTCTGTATATTCATATGATTATAAAAAATTTCAAAAAATTAAAGATGTAATTTGTAATTTAATTAATTACTTTTGTAAAGTAATTGTAATTTAATTAATTACATGTCTTAGAAAGCCTGTAATTTAATTGTAATTTAATTGAAGAAAAAGTCAAAGTAATTGTAATTTAATTAATTACTTTTTAAAGTCATTGACCCCATCCCTGGTAAATACAAATACAAGGCAACTACTACCATCCTCATAATGTAAGATATTATGAAGTAAAATGGCCATAAGCAAGAAAGGATACCATCATTCCTATAAAGTAATGCGTATATTTTTTTTTAGATTTAAACAGATCAAAAATCCAAGTATATTATTTTACTTGCTCTTGTCGGTATTACACGAATGTGAAGATTATGTTAAGGTATACAATGTTTTGATATTGATACAAATCACTATTTTTGCGAGTTTGATAAATAGTTCAATAATCTTATGGTTTCTTTTTTCGGTTTGATTTGTACTTAACACTTTAAAAATATTGTGTATATTCAACACCATAGTTGACAGCTTATTTTTCATATTTGCATTTCAGTTGTCACTACTTGCAATCATATTCAATCAGAATTCACTTACTGGAAAGATTAATTTTAGAACAGTATTTAAAAATTCTAAATTTCATTCTAAGATGCATGTATACAGGGTCAATTTAGCCCAAAATAGACTTATACATTATTCTATTGGGTTCTCCACAAAGTACGATGTACAATTTTCAATGTTTAAGGTTCTTTAAACCCCCATATCTCCAATATTTCACTGAAAAAGACAGAATACTAATTACATATCACACAAAATCACTGTATATAAATGATTACTCAGGGAATCGGATATGGTAAATGCAAAAAGCCAATCACAAAAGAAAAAAAAAAATTAACAAATAATCAATCTTTATGGTAATCAAAATGGCTATAAAAATCCAAGTCTAAACAAAACAATATAAATCAAACAAACAAAAAACAAAAAGAGGAAGATAAAAAAACAAAAAACAAACAAACAATAAAACAAAAGCCTTCTGTCTTTGTCCTGTATTATGTTTCTGTCTTTAAATGAAACACTGAATTAACGACAGATTTTCCCGATCATGACAGGGAGCACATGACGGGTGTGACCGGTCAGCAGGGCATGCTTACTCCTCTATTGCACCTGATCCCACATCCGATGTTTTGAAGGTCAGTGTTTGCTCTGCTCCTATTTTATATTGTTATATGGACTTTTGATTTTGAATACTGTTTGTTATCTCCATGTATTTTGTGTAGAATTTCAGTATTTGTTTTCATATTCATATAGACAAAATCCTAATCGGAGAACTCTTACCCATTATTTTTTTCCTATTATCGATACACTGAGAAAAAATGTTGAAAGTTGGTAATATGTTAAAGAGTGCTTTATTATAAAATTTGCTGAAGAACCCATATAAAAATAATTTTGATGTTTGAAAGGATTGGGGAATAAATCAAAAAAATATTTTTCATCAGATGCGTGCGTTAATTATTTTTCTTAAAGATGCCTAAAAAACACGCTTTTAATGTGCCAATGTCAATTCTTAATAAACATATTTCCAAAAAAAAAAAGAAAGAAGAAGAATATTTCATAACGACGAAATATTTGTACACTTTTCAAAGCCCCAAAGAAGATCAATAATGAAGAATAAAAGAGAAAGCTGTCATGTTTTCATACATCATCTTTTGTTATCAAGATGTAACAACTTGAAAATTTTGCCCCCGTTTTATTTTGCCCCTTTCGCCCTACTTACAGCTGGGTGTGTTTAGAACGGGGCAAATCATAAGAGCACATCATGATTTCTTAAACAAAAGTGTGACTGGTCGAATTTAAAACGGGACAAAATTTTTTGCAAGGAAGAAAGGACAAAAAATAACCTTGTACATATATACATGTAGCAATAATAAATAAAGAAAGAAAGAAGATGTATGTACAAGGTGAAATACCTCTAATGTGGCAAACATGAAGGGAAAATTACAGGCATTTGCCTATGAACAGAATACACTCACTACAAAGAACAAAAGGGATCATTTTTCATACTTTAAGTTTTTTTTTATATAAGTACGTATTTTCTCCATCGTTAATGAAGTTATTCCAAAGTTAACTCTAAATGTTTAGATAAGAATATACAGTTTTCGGTTTACAAAATCGTGGGGGAAAGACGAAATGTACCTTAAAAGTACACTTGTGCTATAAAGCATTCGCATCCTTTCGAAAAATACTCGATGCACATGAGGTCAATTTTTGTAATTATAAGCAATTTAAGACACTTAGATCTTTTCTGAAGTCTTAGAAAAAGACTTTCAAAATATCAACATTTATCTAAAAAAAATTAAATGAATACATTTTTTAAAAAGAAGAGAAAACATTTTTTCCATGTAGTTATAGATTTTGGTTCTTTTTACATGAAAATAGGAACAAAATGAGATCTTGCACTAATAGAAAAATTAAGTACTAGCATTGTATAACTTTCGAAGAAACTGATTTTAAAAAGCCTTAGATACTGTATTAGTATATAAAAAGAATGTAATTCACTAGAATTATATCCTAGAATATATTTGTTGATCATAGCTGGTACTTATTTTTGCGTTTTCTGATAATGTAGATGAGATTCGATAACTATAATGATTGACCTCGAAGAAATATGAGAGATAAATCAATTGTAAATTTAGAGGCAATTTTGAATTACTTTACCAATTTTCAGAACCTGGGGATCTGACTCCATTTAAATCATTATAAGATTATTTTTATCATTTTTGTAGTCTTGTTGAATCGGAATATCTTTCTAATATACCAGCATTGGACAATGTTTAAACCATAATTTTTACGTTTTTTATTTTCATTCACAAACATGTAGTGCAGATACTTCAAGAAATTTACACTTGTGTCAAGAATTATGCTGTGTGTTTTAGGTTTATTTGAATGTATTCTAAAGGGTGTTAAGAAAGTTCGTTCCAATTTTTTTCTTTTATTTCAAAAAGAAATACGATGAGAAGATATTTACAATTTGTGATATTTTATATTTACAGAGTCCATTCTTGCTACTGATAAGGTTTAACGGTCTTTTATTGAATCAATAAGGGGAGGGCAGGTATTAAAACAGATGATGTCTGTTCAGAAAAAATATGGATGATGCATATTTGTGACATATATTAAGCACGCAGGTCAAAACATTCTTTCAAATACAATGCAAAAATTATCAAATCTGTGAAATATTTCAAAATGACAAACCTATTCTTTTGAAATATTGATATATCGTTGATAACATTATACCTACGCTTACATATATATTTAAATCTGATGTAAATAAGCTATAAAGAAACTAAAGTACAAATGTAACTTATCCTTCATTTTCATCAAAATGACCAGCATTCCTATCATTCGGGTGCTATATAAAGAGAGATATATATTTTCATATGGAAGAAAAATCCAATAATTTCCTGCTAGAAATGATTTGCCATAAATCTAAAGCACACTCTTGTGATTTTGTCAGACTTGAAAATTCATCTCTTTAGTTAAGCACTACTTTGAAATTTTTGTAAATATTTCATCCCGGAACGAACTTTCTTAACACCCCTTACATATACAATTATATCTCTTGAAAAGAAAGTCAATGAAAATACCTGCTGACAAATGGTTAAGCAGTTCAAGAAGAAAGGAAAAAAAAACTTTGATTTAAAAAAAAGAATGGTCACATAATTTCCCTTAAAACATACCTCGGAAACATTAGAAGAATACATAGATTCCTTAAATCTCAGCTTATGCCTCGATATCCTTCCTACGATAACCACCAGGGATTGTGTATATTGGACCTGTTCAAATAAATAATGATATTTCTTAAAATGGAGTTAAAGTACCTTAAAAACTAAATTTGTAAACAAAAGATCATTAAAAAGTCAGTTTTTATTAGATTCATATCATCTGCAACATAAATAAATTTCTCTATAAGGTTTAAGACTTTAAATGTATAAAGGAATTATCAAGCAAAGATTCGCAGGGTCCAAAATATCCCAAAATATCGTCATATTTATATTTTATTAGAGTTTTAGCATATATATATGTATTCATATAGATTGATAACATTGTCCTGCCTTTGCTTACAATATATATTTAAATAAACATAATAGAAATATTATCAAAATATAAAATGGTTTACGTTATAATAAAGTCTGACTTTTAGTTTATGTTAAGGTCCGAATTGAGTTCCATATATGACATAATATACAGTATAAGTTATGCATTTTACTTTAACATATTAATATATAAAGAGAGAGAGATGGAGGCAATAATGTATCAATACATACAGAAGAGCATCCAAATTTGCAATTCAAATTTTCTGGACCCTAAAAAAGGAGGAAATTGCAATGATTAAATACAATTGTGTTAAGATACATTTTTTGATTCATTAATAACAATTTGATGGTGTCCCGCGTTAACGTTTGATAGTTTCATACATACACAAACTGGAGGAAGAATATCTCCTATAAGAATGAGCTCAGTCCTGTTGAATTCCAACATGCTCAGACATTTCTTGTCTGTAGACGATGACGATATCGATAACGTCTCATTGGGTTCAAGATAACTTTGGTAATCGTGAACAACGCTTCCGCTTCCTTTAAATATGTAGTTGGAGGTTAATTGTTTTTTGATAAATGCCATTTTTTTCAAATTATGGAAAAAGACTGGTTGGTCAAAAAATGTATTTTTGTTAAAGATATACATGTATATGTAACTATGTCACTAAGTATATTTATTAGACTTTAGAAACATTTTGGAGGAATAATATTACGTATATCAGGCAAATTCCCATCTTGTTTTGTATTATTTTAATAATAGATGTAGTTTTTATGTACATATCAAGTTATTCCGAGTACATTCCTTTATTTGTGCTTTTAAGTAAATTATATTGGTTACAAAAACACACATGAAAGTAGGACTGACACTCTTACCGATCCCCCACCCCCCCAAAAATGTTGCAATTCCAGCCTTTGTGATAAAAGAGTGTGAGGTTTTTACATGGTGGGTATATTATACATTTATTGCATGATAGTGAGGGAAATATGAAGACTTATTCAGCGAAGAAAAATAATATATTATGATATTTCTTGGCTGAATAAGTCTTCATGTTTCCCGAACATTCATGCAATGAATTGTTTATTATACCGAAACAAGCAAAACCTTTGAAATAAACATAAACTTTCAAATTCGGCACCTCTCTCAAATTCATTTTCATTAAAAACCCTTTGTTCAACACATTATCATCAGTTTTGTGACGTAAACCAGGCAATTGTGACGTCTACTTCTCTTGGGAGTTTTCGTTTTTCGTTCACAGAACAAGAACTATATTGCAGGAAAATACACTAGGTGTTCCGAAGAGGTGGAATATGATGAAAAGCGTGCCGACGGCCGGGAAATATGAAGTTTTACGGCCCGATCACGTGATAACTTAGAACCAAGCAGATAACGTGTTGTTTAGAATATTTATAATGAGGTATAATAATATCGTTTACTACCCCACAGGTAGTAATGAGTTACACACAATTGTCAAAAATTTGTTGTTTAATAACATTTTAAGGTTATAAACAGTGCAATATGGCGAAAACATACTGTATTCAGGTTCAAAGTCCACTTAACAAAACCTGAGAAGAGCAAACACGAACTTCTAAAATTATCAAAGGTGGGATAAGGTGCCATGGAGGATTATGCATCTTCTGGTCGAACCCGCCGTGTGCTCCTTGTCAATGATAAGGAAAAACGAAAGAATCTTTAAAAACTCAGGGCCTTAAATTCTAGTAATGGCCGAACAATTAATTTGAAAAATTTCTTTAACGAGTAGTTATTTTTTTCTCTCACAATGGGGCGTCTTGACCTAATTGCTAGTCGAATATGTAATAATGTTAATTTATGCAAAGAAAAGGAAGATAAGAATACTCTGGTGTCCCATTTTCATGGTTGGTAAAATATATTGAAAGAAAGCTTTGAAACTGAATTACTTTGGCACATTGGATATAAGAAGAGGAATCTGGAATGTTATGAAATCTTCAGTTTTTTTTCTTCTTGATTTTAAAATGTCATTTCAAAATACATACGTTTACGAGTTTTCATGGACATCATATATTGAGAAAAAATCATTTCTTAACAATTGGGTTTTTGCATCTCTTCCTGTACGTAAATATTAATATGTACAAGATATATGATTGTAAGATCTCAATATCAACATGATATATAAGATTTAACTTACCAATTATGTCGTAACATTTGACTTACCTGTTGTGTCGTTTATAGTAATTCTGCGATTATGTTGCAATAATGTGGTACAATTTGCTACAAAAATGGTATATTCTATAAATACCTTGATACCCGTCAATCAAAATTATGTGTATATAACAGCAATATGACTGATTTAAAAATTACTTTTTAGCATTTTATTGTACTTACCTGAACAATATTCGATGATAGACAAAATAGAAAAGAGTAGTGCTCCGATTTTCGCTCTGCATGAAAGGTAAGATGTATTTAATATACATTTGTCAAATTAATCATACATTATTAGTTCCTCTTCTTTCATGTCTTACGGCTTTACATACACGTTTTCCTCACTAGGTCCTTATTTTATGAATAATAATTGAATAACCATGCCCTCTTTTGATCAAAATACATGTATAATGATATTTTCACACAAACAAAATTATTGCTATAATTCTTCCCAGAATATGCCATATATGAATATAATACATATATTGAATTATGTTTTGATTTTATCTTCATTAAAAGCAGTGATATCAATTTTCAATATCAGTCAAATGAATAGAAAAATTCTGTTATTATTGAAAAATATATTTTTCTCACTTTTTATATGTAGAAAACTGTTTATCCTTTTAAATGTGCACATTTTAGGAATACATGCTCCAAACAACAACAAAAAAGAAAGTTATAGTAAATAATATGAGAATATGGAATGAGATTAGGTAGCTTTAAATGTTATATCTATCCGCCTTATAAGGATATTCTGTCAATATCTAAGTCTATTGCTCCTAGACAGTTTTTAAATGTTCTGTTTCCGGGGAACGATTCTGATAAGAAATATTTTCTCTGGTCAACTCCCCGTACGCGAAAATCTTACCCAGCCCTGTGTTTGAGAAAGGTGACATAACTTATCAATCATTATATCCAGAATTAATTCTGTGAAATGTATGCCGAGGATTCGTTAATATTGAGTGTGATTGTTTTCATGTGAAGATAATCTAACATTTTACAAATAATGTCAGATTATGGATATTTAAGCATTTAAACAGACCATAAACAAACCTATTAACCAATTGTTTGAGTATGTATTAAAAAGCAATTCTAACCTTAACCATATACGAAAAAACAAATGTAACTAGAGGTACTTTGAACACTGAGCTCAATGATACCCCCGCCTCCCATATGATTATAATGGCAAAGTCCATGTTTTACTCTGAGAGAACCGAAATAAATGTCAGATTAAAATGTTAAACAGGAGGTACTCAATGACATTACTGTATAATTATATAGTATGTTATAAAATATCTTAGAAAGTATCATTAAGTTTTATTTAGAGGTATGGGAGGAGTTTTGAATAAGAGATTGGTACTCTACAATATAGAAAGAAGGGCAGTGTTCACCTTTTTCTATAGGAAACCCAAAATATGTGTCCGATCCAAAAGTAAAATAAGAGGTGCACAATGGCATTATGTTTTTCTAAAAATCTCAATATTTTTTCTCTCTGTTTTTAGAACGTTAATTTGAATGATATATATGCATATGATGTTCATGAGTATTTACGTTTCTAGATATTTCACAATGTATGCACTCAGTCATGGCACTTTGTTGTAAAAAATAAGGTTGTAAAAAATAAGGCATGTTAGCATCCAGCTATGGTTACACAAATATTTCTGTACTAGGAAACAATTTATCTTTTTATTGATTTCCTATAGTGTCGATAAAATGCACATCGGTAAACGAAAGATAAAGGGCTCTCAAGAAAACTAAGGCATGCGCTCCTTACATAAATCTGCAGTAGGAAGTTATGTGATAGCAAAGCTGTGTCAATCGATACATTTAAGGGATCATAATGATTAAATTTGTTTCAAATTTAAGATTAAAAAATACTATAAATATAACATTCAATCAAATTGAAAATAAATTTTCATTTCCACCAGCTGCAAAAATAGTCAGAGGTTGGTTTCAATAATTATTAATAATCTCTTTTTAAAGTAAGATTATGTTTATATTTAGTTATTTTTTTTTATATGATATGAATTAAAAAATTACCCCATTTTGAGCAATGGTTGATCCTATGTGAAGGACTGCAATAACACAAACAGTCAAAACGTCATATCGGATTCGATAATCAACCAAAAGTCGTCCAACTCTACATGTAGTTCCTAAAATCGTCCACAATTAAGCCAAACCTTAAATGGAATCACTGAGTCAAACATGAAACATTTCACTACTTGATGGTACAATAAACCTTCTGATAACGTTATTAAAGCCTCAATTCATCACGGCTACCTCCAAATCAGCCGGAAAGAGAGGTATACAGGTATATTTTGTCTTATCAGTTGTATTTCAATGCAACGGCAGGGGCGAGGCTCCGAAGGGTAAACACCTTGTATTGTTTCCGATAAGAGTACACAGGTAGCTAATTGTTTGAAGTAAAAGTGCGATCTGAGATACACATGCTGACTTCATTATCTCTCTAATTAATTGTTATTCTGTTAGAATTGATAAATAAAACAATGACATTGAGTTCTTTGGTATGACCATCCATAATGTACATATATGTACTTACTTCCTGTAAGATTATGGTCATAAATTTTCTGAAGGGCATTAACCGTGCCTTGAATACTTAAAATAGTCAATTCAAATTCAGATAGGAAATAATAACATTTTCAGCCTTTTTGATATATATAATATAGGATTTCTCAGAGAAGAACTTACAGACGTCAAATTTAAAACTATAAATGAAAGGCGGATAGATGCTCATGTGATTTATTGTTAAATGGATTTACATATGTATATACGTTAAAGAACATGTATGCAATTTTCTCAAAATAGATACATAAAATGTTAGTCAAAATTATTTTGATTTCAGAAAATTTGCTGTAATCAAAACTTATATAAACTGTATATATACAACAAGTATATATTTATATATATGGATACATGTATTTGTTTTCACAGTGATGTGTATTTTTGGTACAAATGCGTCTTTTCTTCGTATGTCTTCTTATCATATTGCTACGTGTATGCTACAAGGATTTTTCGTAGATATTGGGGGTATTTTATATTCATTTTACTTTTCAAATACTTTTGTTTCCTGGGGATAACTTGGTTTAGTTTGGTATTTTGAATGTTGATGTTAGCTTGTTAATTGTGACCTGATATTGTTGCTACTTACTTGTTTAGATTTATTTGTTCAGACAAATAGAATTCGTGGCTTCTAAACTTTGTTTTCTTGCTTGAAAAATAAAAAAATTATATAACATACATTTTTTTTTCTCTCATTTGATCTCATCGTGTAGAAAAAAAAAAGGTATTGGCACCTGAAACTGACGGTATCGATTGTAAAATTCAGGGGAAAAAATTCATTTTAATACTTAATAAATCAGAACCAATAAAAGAATTGATCTCAGAATGAAATGAGCGCTATAAATTATGCAATGGACAAAAATTGAATAACGGGTGTTATGAAATTTAAAGAAGGATGTACAATGTACCTGATAACGATGATTTATGGTATGTAAAGTGTATGAGAAATGTAAAGATATCGATAAAAAATTTATACTTTATATTGCAGTTCTGTACACGTATGTGCATATTCTTTTAACTTTTTGTCATTTTGCCAATAACTTTGACATTTAAGAATATTAAAGGAGAAATGCAATGTTTTGTTGTAAATAATTAACTACTGAATAGTAATTAAAGGAAATTTATTTTTCAATTTTGTTTTAAGAACATATCGAATTCGAAACATTAATTATACTATAAAGCTTTGCACCTATCAAGAAACAGATTTCAAATGCCTTCTTTTTTCACATAAAACTCTTGAATTTTAATAATGCTAAAACTGAACTGAAATTTTCAGTACAAATTCACAAAAAATTGCATTTTCACTTGTATTTTTCTCATAAAAGGCAAGAAAAATGGGACCCAAACAACTGGGTTGTGATGTAATGTGAGAATAAAACTTTTTTTCACGTGTGGTATAAAAATCCTTTATTACGATGATTTCATAAAAAAGGCAATCGTACTTTATCCCACATGCAAAAAAAAAACACACCTCCATACCTAGTACAAAAAATGATTATTCTTTATTTACATGCATGTACTACGGTTTATTTGCTTAACAAAAACACCCCATGTATTTATCACGTTTAAAAGACGATTTGGTAAACAAAAACGCCCTCGTCTTTTGCCCATAGCATTTATGTTTCTTAAATGATACATACAATTAAAGCAAAAATCACTCAAAATATGCATTGCGTCAATCAAAACGACACCATAACAAACAGGTACATGTAATCCCAAATGTAAAATTTGAGGATCGATAGAATGTATTTAAATCCATTGGCAGAAATTTGTTGGAAAAGTTTTTCTTCAAATTCTGTCGTCTTTATCTATTCATGGAAATTTAAAATGAATGAGTGTAATGTTTACTGCACACCTACACGGATAAATGTTGATTTTGTGATATACATGTACATGTTCTTTTATACACGGATATACTTTAAATTAGAATGTAGCACATTGTGACCAGCGGCAGAGGATGCTACTTCCTGCATGGTACCTGATCCCATCTCTGATAATTTAGAGCTCTGTGTATGCTCGATCTGTATTTTTGAATGACCCCTTGAGCTTCAATAAAATGTATTTCTTTGTATAACTTTACATTGAATACTTTTCTGAAGATTTTCTTTTCTTTACGAACGAATCTTTTTCAACCCTAATCCTTTCTGTCATCTTGTTTCCACATTTTCTTTATCAAAGCTTTTGAACTTCACTAGGTTTAATTAAATAATTTAACAATAATAGTTTTCCTTTCAAATAATCTGAGTTAAAATTTAAAAACTACTTATTATATACAACATAATTTACAGAATTTTTTCCCCTTTCCTTTGCTCATAAGAATAGAATGAGTTATCATTCTTGTGTCACGTAAATAGAGAAGAGAAAAAAATTTGCAGGCTTGAGGGTTCAAAAGGAAGAACTAAAGAAATGTAAAAGGAAAGAACAAAAGAACTATACACGTAAAATGCTATATATCCAAGTTATATATAAAATGAATAATTGTTGCTTCTTAAAGTTTCAGTTTTCATTCAAAGTTTTTCTTAATAATTTTAAAGCATTAACATCTAAAACAGTGATTCAAAAATACAGAGATTCTTGAACATCAAGAAAATTGATTTTTTTTAAATTTTTGAAACTAGAAGCAATGACCATGAACCAAAGTTAAAAAAGTTCAAAATATTTGTACTGATTCTGGATTCTATATAAAAAAAACATACAGATGTATATCATATAATTATTAATAAATCAACAAATAACCCTTCTATAGAATATTAGTAACAATTGATTTTTTACTTGAAATTTCATTGCATGTTTGTCCCTCTTGTTTGATAGTTATGCTAATTACAAAGATACATGGAGGATATTTTATCAGTCAATTATACTTAGTTAATTTGATTCAATATATCGCTTTGAATCCATAAAGTCTGATAGATGAAGGATATGGAAATAACAAACAGTATTCAATATCAAAGTACATACAACAATACAAAATAGGAGCACAGCAAACACGGACCTCCCAAAACATCAGAGCTGGGATCATGTACCATGGAGATGTGAGCATCCCCTGCCGACCAGTCACATCCGCCTTGTGCTCCTTGTCATGATAGAGAAATAACGGAAAAATCCGTCGACAATTCAGCGTAAAAAATGGACTAACAATTTGTATAAGAAACGTCAGTCAGCATGTGATTTAATGATAAATTGTTTTTGTGGACAAAGTCAATGGTATCGACCATAGAACTTACGAAATGATTACTTTAAACGAGACTGCTGATAGTCTTGTTTCTTCAACTTTTTGTCAATAATTTACCTCGTTTTAGGAATTGTTCATACGTAGAGCATGATCTTGCGTATCGAATCAACTGAGATATGTAAACTCCGTTTGAAGGTGATGAAGGTTCATTGTTGTATAGGAAAGGGAAGCTGACGATTGAAAAGTTTAAGTCATCACGTTTATCATAGGGCTTGGTTGTTAGATTACCATTAGTGTCTTTTTCAAGTAAAATATCCATGAATGAAAAAGATGTGTCAGACTCTGCGGTGTCTTTTATCTCAAGCTCATCAGAATATATCGTATATATTTCATATTTGGATATTTTACAACAGAAAAACAGCCAAACTAACCATTAGCTAGACATTTGATTAACTTAATAATTTCAGCTAATTCCTGAAGTTATCTTTTCTTATCTATGTAGCAATAAACAATTATAACCTGCAAACGTTTACGTTGCAAAGATGATTCGATTATCTTGAGCATGTTCCACACTACCATTATAAGTCGATATCCATTGAACCCCGATTAGCCTGTAAAAATGGAAATAAAGTAACAATAATTATTTTAATAGCCAAAAAATTTCAAAAAAGATGCACATTTTTAAACAAGGGGTTGTGCATGCTAGCTTATTGACAAGTCGTTTTAAAGGTAGTTTTGTTTTTAAAAATGAAGAGATTAAGATAACGAACAGTAACCAATCTATAATAAACAATCAAACTATACGAATCTTTGAATAATACATAAAAAGCGAATCTCTGGAAAATCTTCAGATAGGATCTGGTGTCTAGAACAAGAAAACATCTCATATCGTTGAAAAGAATTTATTTATAGGAAATTTACACAGAATTTTAGATGGGTACATTGTATACATAAATATCCTCTGTGAGACAAACATACCAGGTATGACTTTCCTTGAAGGACAGATGATACAAACAAAAAATGGATGCCTGGATTGGTATATATTTTTGGCCTAATTACATTGCATGTGATGCAAATGATAAATTTCTAGAATATAAAGAAATTGTAAACCTGTTGTGATGTTCAAAAGTCTGCCCTTCTGAAACCATCCTTATTAATCTATACCAATATTTTTCACTTCAAATTCCATTTTTGTGCAAATTTGAATAAAAAATTAAAAACTACGCGGTAAAAGTTATTCATTTTATTCATTCAAACATGACCCAAGTTGTTATTTTCAAATTCTTTGACAAAGTTTTTGTATCATCTGTCCTTAAGATAATAAATGTTTCTTCTGCTGTAATGAAATAAATATTGTTTCTGCATGATATAGTGCATTATGCATTGGAATATTTCTTTTTTCTTTGAAAAATATAATTGATTTTATGTTAAGATCATTTTCAGAAAAACATACAGTTGAAACGCATATTATCAAGCTAAGTGAACAAAAATTGCCATCTTAATGTCTTTTGCAAAAAAGACACGTTTAGGAAGAGTTACTAAGCCATTAACATCGTCTTTATCTGACTTTTTCGTGCTTTAAATCTATCAGAATATTTCGAAGGA